ATTGCACAACACCAATGACAGAGGTGGCTAATCCCTGCTCGCCCTACCCTCGTCCCTTGGGATGGAGCATAGATTGGAAGGGGTTCGAGCATCACTACATCTCAAAACCCTTCGCTGATAGTGATATCTAGTCCCACCACCATTCTTCCCTAGCCCTTCAATAGTGGGAATCCCAGATCCCATATAGCCTCCCCAATAGAGGGGTAACATCCCCTCACTAACAAGTCATCCCTGGGCCAGGACTCCTGGGTCAAAATGGTATGGGGAAGAGGTGAAAGTTTGATAGGGTAAGTTTCCCTAGAAGATAAAACCCAACCAACCCCACCCCAAGTGGGGAGGGCGGTCCCACAGTGTTTAGTTAGCTGTCAATCCCTCTCTTCCTCCTGGGTTGATTGGAGGACTGTTGATTCTATCTGTGGCTGTGGGAGTATTAATGAGGCATGTGCTATAAAATGGGGATTGCTGGCCAACAAAGAGCCAGCTTCGAATTCGGAAGCTCTGTCCATCCTGTCTCACCAGGAGTACAGTAGAGAAGGTTGATCATTCTCATAAATTTTTGGAACATTAGGCAAAGGTCCAGCTATAGATGGGGTGCTGGATTTCTCCAGATTGTCAGCAACATAGAGTTCTTTAGGTGTTGTTGCCATAGAAATGTCAGAGGCGCCATAGAAATGTCAGATGAGGGGAAAGTTGGGAAATCATGGGAGAGCCAGAACAACACCTGGCTAACACATTGTCATTAGAAAGCATTCCAGACCCTCCATCTCCCAGAACTCGGCAACCCTTAAAAGTAGGAGAGCAAAAAGCTCAAAGACAGAGGGCACATAGCAGCACCCATAGAGGAGATGATGAGAATGACGAATGAGGAAGTGGGAGAGACGGATGTGGAGATTCACTCTGGACAATGCCATTATCCAAGAGGCTGGGTTCTATAGCCTCCCTCTGTAAAGATTGAAATAAGAAAGAACTGTAAGAAACTTTTCCTTGTCTTTATAATTTCCTGGGCAACCAACTAGGAGCCACTGACAGCATCCTGACAACGGGATAAATATAAAAACTTGCTTGAAAAGAAAAAAACACTTTGGCTCTCACCCGTGGATGCAGTAGCCTTGAGGAGACGGAACATGGACTGTCAATGGACAACATATAGAGAGTTATTGGTCTGTTCCGGTCAAGAGATAAGACTGAAGAAGCTAAAAGGTGTTAGATATGCGGTGACGGACTGGTTACAATATCATCAAGTAAATGGCATGTTTAAACTAGATAAGAATAATGGGTTTATGATCAAAAGTTCACAATTTGAAAGGGAACTTATAGAATCATCAGGAAAATTTATTTCTAGAAAGTATAAACTATTGTTGGAGTGGCAGACAAAGGACGAGATGGTCAAGTCTGCTATGATACATTGGGCAAGAGATATAGGGCATAACATAGAATTGAGGGGGGGGAATTGTGGAAAAGAGATTTAAAATTTACAGCTTGTTATACAGTGAAAGAAAAATTTATGAAGATGATATATAGATGGTACCTAACACCAAGTAAATTAGCAAAAATGTATAAATCAGAGACAGGTACCTGTTTGGAAGTGTCAAGAAATGGAGGGTACTTTTTACCATATGTGGTGGACATGTAAATTTGCGAAGGATTTATGGGAGATGATATACAAGGAAAGGGAAAAAAATGTTTAAGATGACTTTTATAAAAAGGCCAACAAGCTTCCTATTAGGAATATTAGGAACTGAGTTTCCCACAGATCAAAAGAAATTATTTCTCTACACAATTACGGGAGCCCAAATCGTATATGCTCAGAAATGGAAAGAGAACAATACCAACAAATGAGGAGTTGCAGATGAAATTGATGGAATGTGTAGAATTAGCAAATTTTACTAATAGAATAAGATATCAGGAAAATGGAGTATTTAAGGAAGATGGGAAATGTTTGCAGTCTATCCAGCTCGAGCTTTGATTTGGTTCTGAATATCATGTGAATTGTTTTGTTAATGGAGTTTTCAACCTCCATATATCTACTAGTTCATTATTCTTTGTTAGAGATAAAAAAGAGTTCGGCAGTTTTCCTTGGTCTGTTTTGGTTCTTCTTATTGATCTATCCATTTCTATGGAGATTACCCCATTGAAGTCCCCCATCAATATGGTCTTATAATCTATATAGTCTGTCAATATTTCCTCTAGTTTTTTGTAAAAGTTTGCTTTCCTTTCGTTTGGTGCATATACCCCCACTAAAATTAAATTTTCTCCTTCTGTTTGTACCTGTACTCCTATTATTCTTTCTTTGTTCTCTTTAAATATTTGTTGTGCATTGTATTTATTTTTAACATATACAACCACTCCTCTGTTTTTTTGCACATCAGAAGAGATAAATTCATTCCCCAGTTTTTTATTCCTTAAAACTCTATTATGTTTCCGTGTTATGTGTGTTTCTTGCAAACAGATTATGTCTACATTCTTTTTTATTAATTCATGTCTAATTTTATTCCTTTTGGCTTTATTATTCATGCCATTAACATTCCATGATATTACTTTAATTGTCATTTTGATTTATTTGATTAAACATATTTTTATTTTTATTATTTGAATTTAAATATCTCCCTCTCCTCCCTCTTGTTCTTGTTTGTCCTCTTCACTTTCCTGTTCACCTCCTTCTATCTTTTCCAGCTCCTTATATCTTCTCCCAAACTTCTGCATTTCTTGTACTGTCTTAATTTTAAAATTCTTGTCTTTATAATAAAATGACACACCTTCTGGATATTCCCATCAAAACCTTATTTTGTTGGCATTTAATTTTTTAGTCAATTCCTTATATGCATTTTGCTTGCGCAATGTAAGAGGTATAGGTTGGTTGCGCGAGAGCAATCAGGCAATATGCTTCAATAGTCTGTTTTAAAGCTTTCTTATTGGTGATAAAAACCTTTGGGATATAGAGCGCCTCTATTCCGTGTCTTGCTCATTCACTGGCAGAATCTGAGAGTGGGTGGTCCTTAAACCTTCCCCAGCAGAGTAGTTTATTGACGCCCAGTCTGCGCCTCCCCTCTCTGCACGGAAGCCTACTGCGCAAGGAAGGCGTGGGTAACGGAGGACCTCTCTCCTCCCCGCTTTGCTCAGGCAAGGTGACCTGGCACCACCTCGCCTCCCCTGAGCCCTGCAGCTCCTCTCCGCTGGAGGCGTGGCTACTCTCCTCCGCTGAGGAGGTGCTGCTTCCCACGGGCCTTGGAGGCTCTCTGTAATCCATCCGGCTTTCCCCCTCTCACCCCTGAGCCGATGGCAGTTCCCTGACATGCAAGAAACGATTTGGGATGTCCTTAAACACCACAATTGTTTTCCCATCTATAATCAGTTGTTTTTCTCAAAATAGTATTTCTCATTTCTGTTGGACTGAAAATTGCTAAACAGTCTCCTGGATATTTTTTGTCTTGCTTGTAAGGAGGTGACTTTTATTCTAAATATATTAGTCACCATATAGTCTAAGTCCTCCTCCTTCGTTTCTAACAATTTCACAATTCCTGTAATTAGCCTATCCCTCACGTTCTCTCCCTCCATCTCTGGAAGGCCTCAAAATTTCAAATTCTGTGCTTTTTTATTCATTTCATGGAAAGGCTGGATTGTCTAATGCATTCTCTTGTACGTTTAAGTTCTTCTATTTGCCCTTTCATTCTCTCTCCTTTTTTATTTTCCCTTATTTCTTTCTGCATTCATTTCGATTGTTCTTCCACTGTTTGTATTTTTACTTTCAATTCCTTCATTTGTCCCGATAAATCTGTTGCCACTTCCTCTATCTTATCCCCAATATTCTTTTCACTTTCCTTTACTTCTCTCCTGATCTCTCTTATCTCTGCTAGTATTTTTGCAAAGTCTCCCTCCCCTTCTATTTCAGCTTTAGATGTCCTTCTCTCTCCTGGTGTTGTTATTTTTGCTGCCTTACTCATGTTTCTTTAAGATAATTATTCATTTTAAGGTGCTATTTCGTAACTCTTCTGGGGGGTCTTATATCCTGTTTGCCAATAACCTTCAGTAAATTTATATTCTCTGCTGTTCCCCCTTCCACCAGAGGGTGTCTCTGTCTCCCTTACTTTCTTTTTTATCGTCTATACTGATTATCTTAAATTTCCTTTCTTGAGGGATAATTACACCTATTCAAGTCAGATATATAATCAAATACCCAGTATATACTCAATGCCTATCAAATTACAGTCCAATTATATCCACCCCTTACGTTCCCCCAGTTTTCTCATCTAAACCCCATAAAGTTCTTCTTTTTTCCTTAATTGTAATAAGATGGTGGACGCCTCCTTCTCTATGCTCTTCTTTGTTTCCTCTGTCCTCCACCTCCCATTCAGAAACCCAATTGGACCCGTCGCCAACAGCAACAGCCGGTAAGAGGAGGGGTACAACACTTCTAGCTCCTCGACCGCAACTGCAAAGAGTATCGTGGGGAGGGGTTGGAATAATTGCAAACTCAATTTCAGATTGAGTACATTGTAGGCGTTGACAAGGAGAGTGCAAACAATATTTCAAGCATTTTCCTCTTTGTCCTCTCAACAGTTCAAAGCCTTCAACAGTGTCTCTGTAGTGTTTCCAACAGTCATACAGACACAATGAATCCTTGCACAAAACAGTGTTTCCTAAATAATGCTCCAATGGCGCCTCAACAATGAATACAAAGTTCCAAATTTCTTTCGAGTGTACTGAGTTCCGTGGGCATTTGAAACATTGACTTATATCCCACAGATAAGTTTGTTTTATCTGCCTTTTGTCTGTGTCTCTTTTCCCTCTAGAGGTGATGAGACTCTTTCCCCTTTTTACTTACTCAGTATATTCTCTGACTCGCTGGTTCACTCATAATGCTTTTATCCTGCGCCATTTTCTCCGCCAGCGTCTGGTAGGATTTCCTTAACCCCAAAATCCTTAAAACGTTTCCGGAACCTCCTTGTTCTTCTGCTTCTATTCCAATTTCCTTTCCTTTTTTTTTTTTTTTTTTTTTTTTTGAAGTCCAGGATTAACCTTATGCCTCAGAATGCTTCACCGCTTCGCCTTTCGGAGCCTGTGGCATTGCTTTGCGGGTCTAGAATGGATCCTAGCATTCGCATCTTCAATCCTGCTTCTTCCCCGAGCCCTGACAGGTCTGGTATGCACACAGGAGAGTCGCCTGAAATGCAGCCAGATCCCCCAGCCCCGAGGATTTACCTCCTCAGGTTTCGAGGTTCGCGGAGCCCTAGCATAACCTCTTTTTGCCTCGCAAAGCTCAGGACCTCTCTGGAGAGTTGCTCCTGTGCTCCTTCAAATGGCAGCGATAAAACCGGAAGTGACATAGCACAAATGTAAGTCAGGCAAAGGGAATCCACCTCTTTCTTTAACATCTATCAAAATTTTATATTTGATCCTCAGCTTCTTCCCCTACTATACAAATCTCGAAATGTCTTTTTGTCATTCTTTAAAGCAGTGCACATTGTTGATCAATGGAGTGGTTTGAAATAGAAATAATACATTAGTTAGGATATTCATTTTGATAACGGACATTCCTCCAATCAACGATTACAGCCAAACTTCCAAGATAAACCACCGGCAAACATGGACTTACTCTCACAGCAAAATCTGTACAACAAGCCTGATTGGGACTATAATACCGCAAAAGGGGCTTGGTACATCAAAATCTTCAAAAAGGTAATCCTAGAAAGAGTAAAAGCTGCTGGGCAACGCACCATAAATTGCACTAAAGTCCAGACTGTCCTACAAGGACTGAATGAACACCCATCAGACTACTACACCAGACTTACATCAGCCATAAAAACCGGGGGAGGGGGAGGGAGATAGATCCAGAAAATCCCCAGCATGAAGTAATCATAAAAGGATTCTTTAAAGACCACGCCACCCCAGATATCAGAAAGGCTTTGAACCTACATATCGGCTATGATGGAAAAAGCATAAGCAAAATGCTGTCAATAGCCAAGCTCCTGCTTTGACAGCTGCTTCGGTTGCCAGCTCACTCACTACCATGGAACTCTCTCTCCACCTTGATCTCTTGCCCTTTATATGTGACCAGTGGACCATCAGCTGTGGTGAGGACTGCAGGGCCTGCTCCCTTCCAAGGCCTTTTCCAGCTGGCCCAGGCCCTCACAATCCGGGCTACATAAGGACTCCTGTTGCAGTGAGGCCTTGGACCATCGGCTGTGGTGAGGACTGCAGGGCCTGCTCCCTTCCAAGGCCTTTTCCAACTGGCCCAGGCCCTCACAATCCCAGTTACAAAAGGACTCCTGTGGCAGTGCCTAGAGAATGGGGCTGGACTCATTTGGAACAAACTCTTGGGGAAGTGCGGGGTTGTTCTGCTATTGCCTCCCTGTCCCTGGTGTGGGCAAGTTGCACGGGGGGGATGCACTGGGACATCCAATCTCAGTGATCACGGGTAGGAGGAGGAGTTACGCTAAGACCAGACCATGTCATTACCGAGGAGGCAGGTTTAGTCATTGTTTGAAGACCATCCCTGCCTCCAAGTCTGGTCTTGACCAGGTGGATACTGGAATCAACAAGGGAAACCCACATGACTGTAAGGTGTTGCTGTGTAATGCTAGGTCAATGATTAATAAGACCACTGCCATCCATGACTTGATCTGGCATGTGTAACAGAGACTTGGTTGGATGAAGCAGATGGGCCTGTCTTAGCTGCTGCTTGTCCACCAGGTTTCTCTTACACACAGCAACCCAGGTCTTACAAGGGGCTGCTCGGGACTTCGGGGAAAGCATGGCCTTCATGCGGCTGTCCCTGAATAAGTTTGGCCCAACTCATAGTCACGGACATGCCTTAGACCTGGTGTTCACCTCTAGTGACGTGGGTGATCTGACACTAAGTAAAAGTGAAACAAAAGAAGTGCCATGGTCAGATCACTTCCTGGTGCAACTGGACTTCTCCGCGCCCCTTCCCCTCTGCAGGGAGGTGGGACCAATTTGGATGGTCCGCCCCCGCCACTTAATGGATCCAAATGGTTTCCAGAGAGTGGTAGGGGATGCTTTATCCCATGTTGATGGCATTTCAGCTGATTCCCTGGTGGCCCGCTGGAATGCGGAGTTAACCAGGGCTATCGACTGTCTGGCTCCAAAGCGCCCTCTCCGATTGCATGGAGCCCGGACAGCCCCATGGTTTTCTTCAGAGCTGAGGGCAAGGAAACAATCGCTGAGACGGCTAGAGCGTCGGTGGCAGAAAACTCATTCTGAATCAGACTGGACACGGGTTAGATCTCAACATCGAGCCTACCAAGTGGCGATAGCGATGGCGAAGATGACTTTCTTCACCGCCTCTATTGCATCTGCAGAAAATAGTAGCAGGAGACTTTTTCAGGTGGCTTGCAATTTAACGGAACCACCTTTACCACCGGGGCCTTGTAAAGACCCCAAGATCTCCTGCAACGATTTTGCAAAGTTCTTTGCAGATAAAGTCACTCATATTTAGAAGGAGGTAGACACCACCATGGGAGCAGGGCTGGGGCGGGAGAGTGCGGGAGCCCTGTCTGGTCAAGTTGCATGGAATCAATTTCAATCCGTTACCCCCGAGGATGTGGACAGGCTGCTTGAACACATGAAACCAACCACCTGACTCCTTGATCCTTGCCCATTCTGGCTAATAAAAGCAAGCCAGGAAGGGCTGGGTGATGGGCTCTGTGAGGTGGTGAATGCTTCCATCTGTGAGGGAGCATTCCCAGACCCACTGAAAGAGGCGGTCATTAAACCGCTTCTTAAAAAAACATCTTTAGACCCGGCCAGTATGACCAACTATCGCCCAGTCTCAAATCTTCCATTCTTGGGCAAGGTGATTGAGCGGGTGGTTGCTGAACAACTCAAGGCACGCCTGGAGGATGCGGACCATTTGGATCCCTTCCAATTGGGATTCAGGCTTCATCATGGGACTGAAACTGCCTTGGTCACACTGCTTGATGAAATCTGGCGGGCTAGGGACAAAGGTGAGAGCTGCTTCCTAGTTCTGCTGGATCTCTCAGCGGCCTTTGATACAATCAGCCATAACATCCTTTTGGCCATCTAGAGGGGCTGGGAGCTGGGGGCACTGTTATACAGTGGTTCCGCTCCTTCCTCCCGGGCTGTGTCCAGAAAGTGGTGGTGGGGGATGAGTGTTCAGACCCCTGGACCCTCACTTGTGGGGTGCCTCAGGGTTCCGTCCTCTCCCCCATGCTTTTTAACAGCTACATGCAGCTGCTGGGAGAGATCATCAGGGGGTTTGGACTGGGTGTCCATCAATATGTAGATGAGATCCAGCTCTACCTCTCTTTCAAATCAGAACCAGTGAATGCGGTGAACATCCTGTGTGAGTGCCTGGAGGTGGTTGGAGGATGGATGGCGGCTAATGGATTGAGGTTGAATCCTGACAAAACAGAAGTACTGTTCTTGGGGGACAGGGGGTGGGTGTGTGTGGAGGACTCGCTGGTCCTCAATGGGGTAACTGTGCCCCTGAAGGACCAGGTGTGCAGCCTGGGAGTCATTTTGGATTCACAGCTGTCCATGGAGGCACAAGTCAATTCTGTACCCAGGGCAGCTGTCTACCAGCTCCACCTGGTACACAGGCTGAAACCCTACCTGCCCACAGACTGTCTCACCAGAGTGGTGCATGCTCTAGTTATCTCCCACTTGGACTACTGCAATGCGCTCTACATGGGGCTACCTTTGAAGGTGACCCGGAAACAACAACTAATCCAGAATGCGGCAGCTAGACTGGTGACTGGGAGCGGCCGCCGAGACCATATAACACCGGTCTTGAAAGAACTACACTAGCTCCCAGTACGTTTCTGAGCACAATTCAAAGTGTTCGTGTTGACCTTTAAAGCCCTAAATGGCCTCGGCCCAGTATACCTGAAGAAGCGTCTCCACCCCCATCGTTCTGCCCGGACACTGAGGTCCAGCGCCGAGGGCCTTCTGGCGGTTCCCTCATTGCAAGAAGCAAAGCTACAGGGAACCAGGCAAAGGGCCTTCTCGGTAGTGGCGCCCGCCCTGTGGAACGCCCTCCCATCAGATGTCAAAGAGATAAACAACTACCTAACATTTAGAAGACATCTGAAGGCAGCCCTGTTCAGGGAAGTTTTTAACGTGTGACATTTTAATGTATTTTTAATCTTTGTTGGAACCCGCCCAGAGTGGCTGGGGAAACCCAGTGGACTGGGCTGGGGTTTCAGAGTAACCTCAACCCCTGGTTATTTCTCTCACATTCCCCTTCCCTGGTTCCTTTAATTTTCCCACCATTTCTGCAAATTCTTGTATATCCATTTAGATCACTTTCTCCCCTTATTCTTCCTTTATTATATATTATACTGTTGACTTTACCTTAATGCTGCTAGCATTTTCACTTGTTTACAATTATCTTCCAGATACTCCACAAAGTTTTTCCACTCCTCTTTATATACATGATCTTCTTGCTCTCTTATCTTACTTGTTAGACCTGCTAACTCTGCATATTCTATCATTTTTAATTGCCAATCCTCCTTTTTAGGAACCTCACTCACCCGCCATTTGGGAGCTAAGAAGATCCGAGCTGCTGTAGCGGCATGCATAAATATTTTTTCCTGACCCTTGGGTACTTCAGTCTGTACCATAGCTGTCAACTTTCCCCTTTTCTTGCAAGGAATCCTATTCAGAATAAGGGAATTTCCCTTTTAAAAAAGGGAAACGTTGACAGCTATGGTCTGTACCATTTCCAGAAGGAATGCCTCTGGGTTTTTTTTGAATTTTAAGAAATCATTTACAGCCCTTATCTTTTGACGGTCTAATCAGTATAGCATGGGCCTCGTCTTGTTCAGGTGGGTTTTCGTGAAAATGAGAGTACAGTGCAAGATCCATCTGCCCTATTCTGGCATTAAAATTTCCTGCCAGAATTATGCAAGATTCAGGGTGCAGAGACGTACAGCTGTATAAAGCTGTATAGATTCAGGGTGCAGAGCTGTACAGCTGTATAGAGAGTACAGAGATGTACTCTTCTAGCTTTGACCAGTTGCTCTTGAACAGTTGCTTATGATGCATAAGGGGAAGGTAGACATTCGGACCTAAAGTCGATTATCAAGGCTGTCACTAAAGGTAGTATGGAGGTTGGTTGCTTTGATGCTGGTCGAGATCAGCACAGCCGGATCTTCTTTAGGTCACCCCCCAAAAAAAAAATCAGACAGAACAGCATGGCTGAATCCTCAAAAGCAAGTGCTTTGGTTGGAGGACCAAGACGTGCCTCTTTGCTAAATGATATCATAAAAACATGGCAGATGCCTTACTACTGCCAGCAAACAGTGCACTTAGCGGATGTTCACATTAGGATAAAATAGCACGATGGGCATTAGGTAGGTTTCCTCTAAACACCCCAGCCGGGCACCTCTGATTTACAGAGGTACTTATGTTTCCAAATATATGGGCTCTGAACTGTGCAGGGAAGCAGCAAGCTTCACATCCTGGTCTTTGAGGTGACAGCTGGTTCTTGCTTGGAGTGCAATCAATTTGTTTTCCAGAATGAAATAGGATGGGAGGTAGATAGTATAGGAAGTTGCCTTATACTGAGTCAGACCACTGGTCCATCTAGCCCAGTGTTGCCTACTCTGACTAGCAGCAGCTCTCCAGGCTTTCAGGCAGGGGTGATTCCCAGCCCTACCTGGTGATGCATAAGGGATTTTACCTCAGACTGTCTGCTTGCAAAGCAGGTAAGTGTTCTATCACTGAGATGCAGTCCTTGTGGGAAAATGTCTCTCTCCACCTGTTGTTCTTTCCCTGCAAACTCCCCAAGTCTGTATTCTGTTGTTGTTGTTGTTGTTGCTGTTATTAGTAATTTATTATTTATTGCATTTATACGCAACATTTTCCTCCAAGGAGCTCAATGGCATCTCATTTAATCCTTACAAAAACCCTGTGAGGTAGTTCAGGCTGAGAGGCAGCATCTCCGAGGGAACTTCATGGCCAACTGGGGTTTTGAGCCCTGTGTCCCACACCCTAGTCTAACCACTATACCAGGCACGTCCAACTCCCAAGAGACTGCGATCTACCCATTGTCATTTGGGGGAGGAGGAGCATGCATGGGGTGGGTGGGTGGAAGAGGAAGATTGCCCAGAGTTGTTGAGCTTTTTGGGGGGAGAATTTACCAGATTTGGAGGGTGGCAATTTGAAGGTGGAAATCTGACAGAGAATGAAATTGCCGCTATCCTTCCTAACGCAGCACCGTTTTGGGGGGCTGGGTGGGTGGAATCAAGGGAAAACTCTCTTTAAAGACAAGATGAGAAGTCCTTACCCTGAGCAGGCAAAAACTAAGATTGCAATCTTCTAAAGTAATTTGTGCTGGCAAAGACAGAATTTTTGAAAATGTAATCTGGGCTGTTTGACCCAATGAAATCATAGAGTCAAAGAATGGTAAAGTTGAAAGGGACCTCAGTCCAGTGCAACTCCTGCAATGTATTAACCACAGCTCAGGAATCCCTGGCAGATGGCCTTCCAGGCTCTGTTTCAAAACCCTAAATGAAGGAGAGTCCACCACCTTCTGAGGGAATCTGCTTCACTGTTGAACAGCACTTACTGTAAGAAAGCTCTTCCTGATGTTTAGTTGAAATCTCCTTTCTTGGAATTTGAATGCATTTGTTCAGGACTTTCTGGATCAAGAAAAAACAAGCTTGATCCATCTCACCTGTGATAGCCCTTCAGATGGCTCTCATGTCAGCTCTCCACCTTCTCTTCTCCAGGATAAACATTCCTAACTCCCTTGACTGTTCCTCTTTGGGCTTGGTTTCCAGGTCCTTGATCATACTGATCACCCTCCTCTACACACATCCTAGCTTGCCAATATACTGTACTTCTTAAACTGTGCTGATGATAACTGAATTCAGGACTCCCAGCAGGGTCTGACTAAGGCAGAATAGGGTGGGACCATTATTTCCCTTGATTTCTGCTGATGCAGCAGAGAATAGAATTAGCTTTTTTGCTGCTTCATCACACCATTGGCTCATGTTGTTGTTCTGCTTTCAAGCCAGGGGTACACCATTCTATATTTGTGCATTGGGAATGAAATCTACAGTCATCTTCTGATTTGCATTCAATCACACACACCACAAACACACAAAAAGATGATTTACCTTCAGCTGCCCTCTTGAAAAAGACTTTGCAGCTCCCGCAGGTGAGTGCTCCATAATGGCACCCAGAAGCTTTGTCCCCACAGATCAAGCATGTCTTCTGTGGTGGGAAGTAATAGTCAATGGGCAGAACATGGTCTCTTGCAGACTGCAACCTTTGGAAGCAAAAGAGAGAGAAGGGCAAAGCATCAGATGTTGGCAAATGCATAAGAACTACTGGATATTAAAGAATATTCCAAAAAATGTTTATTAGCGTGAACCTGAAAGAGAAATATCTTAAGACAATATTCTACTGGTACTTAACTCCATGTAGAATTAGTAACACTTTTGGCCAAAACATACATTGTTGGAGGTGTAACAGAATTAAGGCAGGGGGTGGACTAGATGAGTCTAGGGATTTATTTATTTTTTAAATAATGCCTTTCTGGACAGAAGTACTGAATTTTATGTACAGGCTATGATCTCCCAAGAAACCCTAAAATAGCTCTCCTTTCGATACTTCATTCTGAAGTCATTGATACCGATTACTGTACTGCTAACAATTTGAAACAGTGCATTGCACAAAAAATGGGGAAATAAAGGACCCTGCCCCAATAAATGATTGGTTAAGAAAACCTCTGCAAACTGTCTTAATGAGAAAGCTTACATATGAGAGAAACACTGTACTTAATAATCAAGAAAATAAATGTATTGAGAGGTTGGCCTTATTTTTACCTTTGTGGAATGGCAGCGTAAATGACAATATTTTTCATATTGATCACTCTCCTCTGCACACATTCCAGCTTGTCAATATCCTCCTTAAACTTTGGCACTCAGATCTACAGGGTATGGGGGTAGGCCAAGGTTTTGAGAATGGTATAAGTGCAATTTATTCAGAACAAAAGGCTAAACTAATTGTAAATAATGTTGTGACGGAAGAACTTAAAATTGAAAAAGGGACACGACAAGGTTGCCCAATTTCCCCACTTCTTTTTATTTCGGTCCTGGAGGTTCTGCTGAATATGATTAGAAGGGACCAGTTGGTTAAAGGTATACAGGTCGGAACTAAACAGTACAAATTGAGAGCATTTGCAGATGACTTAGTATTGACGTTACAGGAGCCAGAATCTAGTACCAAAAGGGTTTTAGAACTGATTCAAGAATTTGGTCAAGTGGCAGGATTTAAATTGAACAAGTCAAAAACTAAGGTTTTAGAGAAAAATTTAACACCGATTGAAAGAGAGAGGTTTCAGAATGAGACAGGTTTAACACTGGTTAAGAAAGTTAAATACCTGGGGATTAACATGACAGCAAAAAAATGGGAACTTATTTAAAGATAACTATGAAAAATGTTGGGCTGAAGTGAAAAAAAGAGTTAGAAATTTGGTCGAATTTGAAGCTTTCATTGCTGGGCCGTATTGCTGCGATAAAAATGAATGTATTGCCTAGAATGTTGTTTTTGTTTCAAACTTTGCAAATTGTGGACAGAATGGATTGTTTCAAGAGGTGGCAGAAAGATATTTCTAGATTTGTCTGGCAGGGCAAGAAGCCCAGAATAAAATTTAAAATACTAACGGATGCAAAGGAAAGAGGTGGATTTGCCCTGCCAGACCTCAAACTTTACTATGAATCAGCAGCTTTTTGCTGGCTGAAAGAATGGCTACTTCTTGAAAACACTGACATTTTGGACCTAGAAGGTTTTAACAATGTATTTGGATGGCATGCATATCTATGGTATGATAAGGTCAAAGCACATAAAGCATTTAAAAACCACATTGTCAGGAAAGCGCTGTTTAATGTTTGGATAAGATATAAGGATTTGTTAGAAAATAAAACCCCAAGGTAGCTGTCACCAATGGAAGCGAAAGCCTTGAAAAAGTTCAATATGGAGGTCAAATGGCCGAAATATTGGGAAATTTTGGAACAAGATGGAGATAGACTGAAATTGCAGAGTTTTGAAAAACTAAAAAACAAAGTGCGAGACTGGCTTCATTATTTTCAGATAATGGAGGCATTTAAATTGGACAAGAAAATTGGCTTCCAGGTGGAAAGATCAAAATTAGAAACTGAACTGTTAGAACCCAAAACTAAGAATTTGTCAAGAATGTATAACTTGCTGCTGAAATGGAACACTCAGGATGAAACGGTAAAATCGGCTATGATTAAATGGGCACAAGACGTTGGACATAACATTATGTTTGCTGACTGGGAACAGTTGTGGACCACAGGTATGAAATTTACGGCATGTAATGCCTTAAGAGAGAATATTATGAAAATGATATACAGGTGGTACATAACCCCAGTCAAGCTTGCAAAAATCTATCATTTGCCCGATAATAAATGTTGGAAATGTAAAGAAACTGAAGGTACATTTTTCACCTTTGGTGGACGTGCCCAAAGATTAAGGCTTTCTGGGAAATGATATATAATGAATTAAAAAGGTATTCAAATATACCTTCCCTAAGAAACCAGAGGCCTTTCTCCTGGGCATAGTCGGCCAAATGGTGTTAAAAAGGATAGAACTTTCTTTATGTATGCAACAACAGCAGCAAGAATACTCATCGCAAAGTATTGGAAGACACAAGAACTTCCCACGCTGGAGGAATGGCAGATGAAACTGATGGACTATATGGAACTGGCGGAAATGACTGGCAGAATCCGTGACCAGGGAGAAGAGTCGGTGGAGGAAGATTGGAAGAAATTCAAAGATTATCTACAGAAACACTGCAAAATTAAAGAATGTTAGAGTGATGTTGGATTGAAAATAAGTGGTTTCCAGCTGTACAGGATTTAAAGTTATAGATAGACTAAGATTAAAGATTAGGATTAAAGAAGTTTAAGGAAATGGAAATTTGGTACTTAAGAGGTAAAATTTTAATGCTATATTACATTAAGATTAAAGATTGGGATTAAAAAGTGTAAAAGAAATTGCTGGACAAACAATTTGGACTGGAATACAAAAGAGGGAGGTATGAGGAGGTCCAGAAAATAAGTAAATTTAAAAACGGAAATGAAAAGGTGATAGTGTTTTTAATTGTTCTGTTTCTTTTGTTGTTTTTTGTTCTCTGTGTACTTTTTTTCTTTTTTGGATTATGTACTGTGTATTTGTGTATTTCTTTTTTATGTTTTTCTGTTTAACTTTTTACTGAAACCTTAATAAAAATCTTTTTTTAAAAATAAATAAATAAACTTTGGCACTCAGAACTGGACACAGGACTTCAGGTGGGGCCTGACCAAGGCAGAATAAAAGTGATACTATGAGTTCCCTTGATCTGGACACTTGACTTCTGTTGATGCAGCCTTAAATTGCATCAGCTTTTATTCCTGCTGCGTCGCCCGATTGGCTCACATTAAGCTTCTGGACCCTCAGTTTATCATTTCCTTTTTGGTATTTATTAACTTTTGGAATGGACTAATACAGTGGTTCTCAAAGTGGGTGGTACTACCCAGAGGGGCAGTGGTGTCAGCAGAGGGATGCTGGAAGTGTCCAGAGTGGCTGGGGCAACCCAGTCAGATGGGTGGCATATAAATAATAAAATTATTATTATTATTATTATTATTATTATTATTATTATTATTAACCATCAGACTATACACTTCCGGGTCAACCGCAAACATGAAAGCAGCTTCACCAAGACAAGGAAGATTCGAATGGAGTAAAAAGGGGAGTAGCGAAGGCAATGCAGCCCCCTGTAACTCCCAGATTGCAAGGGATGATGAAGATAACCCATGCACTGTGAGGTTTGGAGCTTACAGGGTTAACAGCTCTGTGTGTGTCCTGCATCTGGGGAGGAGCTTTTCCCTACATTCGGAGAAAGCTGAGTTCTTTGTCTGTGAGTTACTTTTTCTGCCAAGAGGCAGAGACACCATGCCTGCAGTCTCGGATGGTCTGTTTGTTATTTTATCATTCTGATGTAAATAAAGCTGTTAGAGGAACAACAGTGTGTGGACTCTCTTCTGCAAGCTCACTCACACAAGAAGCATGCGCTGTGCCGCTCTGCTGCAAGTCCAGGAATTCTGTTGCTGTGGAAACGTACCGAACCCGAACATGCACGTTGTACTCTGCTGCTCCCTGCCTCTGACAGAGTCAGAGGATCCCATTTTAGACAGGTCCAAGTGGCACAGTGCAGGCAGACATCACAACTGGCTCCATATTGAGAAGCCTCGGACAGCAGAAACGTAAGCAGCTGACCTCCTATTGTTGTTGTTTAGTCGTTTAGTCGTGTCCGACTCTTCGTGACCCCATGGACCAGAGCACGCCAGGCACTCCTGTCTTCCACCGCCTCCCGCAGTTTGGTCAGGCTCATGTTTGTAGCTTCGAGAACACTGTCCAGCCATCTTGTCCTCTGTCGTCCCCTTCTCCTTGTGCCCTCCATCTTTCCCAACATCAGGGTCTTTTCCAGGAGTCTTCTCTTCTCATGAGGTGGCCAAAGTATTGGAGCCTCAACTTCACGATCTGTCCTTCCAGTGAGCACTCAGGGCTGATTTCCTTAAGAATGGATAGGTTTGATCTTCTTGCAGTCCATGGGACTCTCAAGAGTCTCCTCCAGCACCATAATTCAAAAGCATCAATTCTTCGGCGATCAGCCTTCTTGATGCTCCAGCTCTCACTTCCATACATCACTACTGGGAAAACCATGGCTTTAACTATACGGACTTTTGTTGGCAAAGTGATGTCTCTGCTTTTAAAGATGCTGTCTAGGTTTGCCATCGCCTTTCTCCCAAGGAGCAGGCGTCTTTTAATTTCGTGACTGCTGTCACCATCTGAGGTGATCATGGAGCCCAAGAAAGTAAAATCTCTCACTGCCTCCAATTCTTCCCCTTCTATTTGCCAGGAGGTGATGGGACCAGTGGCCATGATCTTTGTTTTTTTGATGTTGAGCTTCAGACCATATTGTGCGCTCTCCTCTTTCACCCTCATTAAAAGGTTCTTTAATTCCTCCTCACTTTCTGCCATCAAGGTTGTGTCATCTGCGTATCTGAGGTTGTTGATATTTCTTCCGGCGATCTTAATTCCAGCTTGGGATTCATCCAGTCCAGCCTTTCGCATGATGAATTCTGCATATAAGTTAAATAACCAGGGAGACAATATACAGCCTTGCCGTACTCCTTTCCCAATTTTGAACCAATCAGTTGTTCCATATCCAGTTCTAACTGTAGCTTCTTGTCCCACATAGAGATTTCTCAGGGGATAGATGAGGTGATCAGGCACTCCCATTTCTTTAAGAACTTGCCATAGTTTGCTGTGGTCGACACAGTCAAAGGCTTTTGCATAGTCAATGAAGCAGAAGTACATGTCTTTCTGGAACTCTCTAGCTTTCTCCATAATCCAGCACATGTTTGCAATTTGGTCTCTGGTTCCTCTGCCCCTTCGAAATCCAGCTTGCACTTCTGGGAGTTCTCGGTCCACATAATGCTTAAGCCTGCCTTGTAGAATTTTAAGCATAACCTTGCTAGCGTGTGAAATGAGTGCAATTGTGCGGTAGTTGGAGCATTCTTTGGCACTGCCCTTCTTTGGGATTGGGTTGTAGACTGATCTTCTCCAAGCCTCTGGCCACTGCTGAGTTTTCAAAATTTGCTGGCATATTGAGTGTAGCACCTTGACAGCATCATCGTTTAAAATTTTAAATAGTTCAGCTGGAATATCATCACTTCCACTGGCCTTGTTATTAGCAGTGCTTTCTAAGGCCCATTTGACGTCACTCTCCAGGATGTCTGGCTCAAGGTCAGCAACCACACTACCTGGGGTGTACGAGACATCCATTTCTTTCTGGTATAATTCCTCTGTGTATTCTTGCCACCTCTTCTTGATGTCTTCTGCTTCTGTTAGGTCCTTTCCACTTTTGTCTTTTATTATGGTAATCTTTGTACGAAATGTTCCTTTCATATCTCCAATTTTCTTGAACAGATCTCTGGTTTTTCCCATTCTATTGTTTTCCTTTATTTCTTTGCATTGCTTGTTTAAGAAGGCCTTCTTGTCTCTCCTTGCTATTTTTTGGAAATCTGCATTCAATTTCCTGTATGTTTCACTATCTCCCTCGCATTTTGCTTGCCTTCTCTCCCCCGCAATTTGTAAGGCCTCATTGGACAGCCACTTTGCTTTCTTGCATTTCCTTTTCATTGGGATGGTTTTAGTTGCTGCCTCCTGTATAATGTTACGAGCCTCCATCCATAGTTCTTCAGGCACTCTGTCCACCAAATCTAAATCCTTAAACCTGTTCCTCACTTCTTCTGTGTATTCATAAGGGATTTGACTTAGATTGTATCTTACCGGCCCAGTGGTTTTTCTTACTTTCTTCAGTTTAAGCTTGAATTTTGCTATAAGAAGCTGATGATCTGAGCCACAGAAAAAAGGGAGCAAGTGCATAAAGAGCAGCTGGCAGACCAGATGCCCATGCTGGAAATGAGACAGAAGGAATCCTTTTTGAGATTTTGTGGAGTTGTGGAACAAGGATGAAAATATTAAAGAGAGACTGCCTATAGGATTAGTGGAACTCTTGAGGAAGAAAAAAGAAGAGATGCTGGAGGCTATTGACAGAGCTTTTGAGTTAGATCTGCATTTGCCAGAATGAAGAAGCTACCAGGGGATTGCCTGGTGGAATTTTCCTCCAGAGGAATCAGAGACAAAATTCTCAAAAGACAATGTGGTCAGAATTCACCTCTACACCACCTCCGTTTGTTACTTGGGTTAGGGACCACCTTTTCAATAAACCACAGAACCAAGGAAACAATTTCAGGTCCAGCATCCAGATTAAGGGACCCAGCATTTTTATTTATTTTATCTATTGCAATAGGACAGCCCTCAACCCAGCGTGCCAGTTGAGAAGGTCTGCCCCAAGGCACTTCGGTACTAAAGCTTATGTGGTAGTTCAAACACAGCAAAAAAAGAGCCATAAAACATCTCCACATACGTCAGGAAAGGTTACAGGTCATAGAAAACATGTATAGTGTCTTCCTGCTCTCTATTTCCCCGGCTATCACCTTGGTGTAGGGCTGGGCGATATCTGGTTTTCAATAGCATGATATATCACCAGCTAAACATCACGATATCTCGATATATCACTGGTCCTGAAAGACCTACATTGGCTCCCAGTACGTTTCTGGGCACAATTCAAAGTGTTGGTGCTGACCTTTAAAGCCCTAAACGGCTTCGGTCCAGTATACCTGAAGGAGCGTCTCCACCCCCATCGTTCTGCCCAGACACTGAGGTCCAGCACCAAGGGCCTTCTGGCGGTTCCCTCACTGCGAGATGCCAAGTTACAGGGAAGTAGGCAGAGGGCCTTCTCGGTAGTGGCACCTGCCCTGTGGAACGCCCTCCCACCAGATGTCAAAGAGAAAAGTAACTACCAAACTTTTAGAAGACATCTGAAGGCAGCCCTGTTCAAGGAAGCTTTTAACGTCTGACATTTTAATGTATTTTTAATCTTTGTTGGAAGCCGCCCAGAGTGGCTGGGGAAACCCAGCCAGATGGGCGGGGTACAAATTATTTAATTATTTATTTATTTATTTTATTGTTATTATATATGTGAGAAGCGAAGTTACAGGGAACCAGGTAGAGGGCCTTCTCGATAGCAGCACCCGCCCTGTGGAATGCCCTCCCTTCAGATGTCAAGGAAATAAACAACTATCTGACTTTTAGAAGGCATTTTACTGGAAACCATCCAGAGTGGCTGGGGAAACCCAGCCAGATGGGTGGGGTATAAATAAAAAATTAATAATAATAATAATAATAATAATAATAATATATCCACGGCGGTGGAGGGCCCTACCGGGCTTCCCTGCAACAATGAAGGGCCCTGCTGTGCCTCCCTACAAAAGCAGAAGGCTTCACCAGGCATCCCTGCGGGAGGAGGAGCGCCTCACCACGCCTATCCGCGATGGAGGGCCTAGCCGGGAACCCTCGTGGAGGAGAAGGCCCCCACCGTGCCTCCCCACAGTGGTGGAGGGCCTCACCGCACCTCTCTGCAACAGCTAATGCTCTTACCGCGCCTATCCACTACGGCAAAGGGCCTCATTGGTTCTCCCCACGGCAGAGGAGGTCATTGCCGTGCAGCCCCGTGACGGAGTAGGGCCACACCACGACTATCCCTGGCAGCAGAGGGCCTGGCCACGCCTTTCTACAGTGACGGAGGGTGCGCTTCCCTGGGGCGGCAGAGAGCTTTGTCGCACCTCCCCATGATGGTAGAGGGCCTTGCTGCGCATCCCCATGGCAGTTGAGGGATTTAAAATGTAAAGTAGTAGATTTCATAAAACATATTAAATAAACTTCCATATAATATATTTAACATATTTTCAACTAATTTAAGAATAGTTCAAGTGATTTACTAGTCAAGTTGCATCTGCTTCCCCACTCAGAGGTCTAAGTACAATCTATGCATGCATAAACCCCACTGAGTTCAACTAAACTTACTTCTACTTTCCTGGGAGCAAGCCCCATTGAATTCAGTAGGGCTTGCTTGTGAGTAGACACGTGTTTGCTTGTACCCTCCCTATCATTCTTTTTTAAATTTTATTTTTATTTCATTTTAATACACCACATACAAAAAAGAAATATGAAAAACAAATATCCATCATCTCCTAGCAACTAAGAAAAAGAAAGAAAAATAAAACACTCACCCTCCCCATCATTATCACACAGTACCCAACCTCCCATTTCAGCAGAAGGCAGCCAGTTAAATCTTCTCCCATTTCCCCCTGACACAGAAGCCACCCCCCCAAAAAAAAACCTCACCCCACCAATCTCTCCCTTTTTATCAAAGGGGAGGGCAAGCAAGCAAAGACTTAATCTCATTTAAAGAAATAAATAAATAACCTTCCTTTTTAATATGGAGGAAAGCTATTTAGGAAGAAAATAAAAATAAAAGCACTTGCTCCCTTTTTTTCAATCCAATCCAATCAATCCTTTATTAGGCACAGCAAACCACACATTATAAAACAAACACCGTATATAGATTGTGGAAAATACGAATTCGGCATAACAATTTGCATAAATAATACAGTATAACACTACCACATCACCGACCAATCAAGAACCACTAAATCTCTCTATAATGGCCCAGCCTTTCCTCATGGACAGCACTCAAAAATTTAGCCACTATTAGAGTAATTTGATCATTCCTGTCCAAGTGCAGGTCCTGAACCGTTGGCGGCATAGAACCAAGCCTGTTAAGTTGTAAGGCCTGTAACAATTGTCTTCTGGAATAAATGCCAAACTCACAAAAAAAGAAAATATGCTCCAACGTATCAGGTTCCTGCCTACCACATTTGCAGAGACGCTCTGCTTCTGGGAGAACTAAATATCTTCCTCTTACTATCATCGAGGGAAACATATTAAATCTGGCTGCCATAAACAGCCTGCACAGTTCATAATTCTTCAGATTTGTCATGTATCCCTTTTGAAAATCTCTACACAAAGGGAGATTTAAATACAGAGGAGAGCAAGTGCTGTGCTTTGCAACCTCGAGAGTGGAGAGAACACTTTTTCCTGTAAAATTCTTCCTGATAATTACCCAAGTATGTTTGGGGTCAGAATTTTCAAAGTCAACTAGATGAAGCCCTATTGAGTTCAATTTTCTCCTACAAATTAATGATAAATTGTAAATTGTATTATCACTTAAGAGGTCGTAAAGGAGAGAGTTAGGAGTTAGGGCTCTATAATGCAGGAAGATCCAATATTTCAAGGTTCTCAGCCATACTCTTACTGATAAAGGAAGTATTCCCAACTCACAACATATTGATTCATATTTAACAGAATTTGCAAGTCCTAATAATGACCTCAGAAGGGATGCGTGAAATTTATCCAACCACTTAAGGTCACCTGAAATCCACACTGGGGTGCCATATAAACGTTGGGCACAAAGTTTCATATCAGTCACTTGCAATACAGCTGGAATATATCTATTTCCTACAGGAGAGGGGGGGGGGAGATTTAATATGGTGAGCTGTCACTTTAGCCTTAGCTATTGCAGCACAGATATGTGTGTTCCAATTCATGTTATTTTTAAATACAATTCCCAGATAATTGAAATGCTTAACTTCTTGTATTAGATGTCCATTGATTATCCAAGTTTTGGGGTTCCCTCTCTTTGTAAATTGCAATTTTTTTGTCTTATCATAGTTAATTTTGAGGTTATAAAGTAATAAAAAACTGGGATACTATTTAAATAAGGAATATGAGCGGTTACATTTTGAAGAAATAATGAAAGGTTAGATAAAGAGAGATTAAATAGGGTAGGGGCCAAGATACAGCCTTGCCTAACTCCTCGGTTATTCAGAATTGGGCCTACAAGTCTACCATCTTTTGAAACTTTAACATATATTTGGTTATTGGAGTGTAAACTTTGAATCAATGTAAGCAGGTATGGGTCAATACCGAGGTGTTCTAATTTGGTCCACAATTTATTACGATCGACCGAATCAAAGGCACTTTTTAAATCTACAAATGCAACCAAAAGTCTTCGTTTGTTTCTCAAGACATATTTGTCCACAAGATGACTTAACACTAGACACTGGTCAAGAGTTGAAGAGCCTGCCTTGAAACCAGCTTGTTCCTTACCAGGTAGACCTTTTGTAAGCATCCATTCTTCCAGTTTAATAAGCAGGAATTTAGCATAGATTTTACTTATGCATGGTAACAAACTAATAGGCCTGTAATTCTCTTGGCAATTCCTATCACCTTTTTTAAAAATCAGCACCACTATTGAGTTATTCCACGATTTAGGTACAAGGCCTAAGTGATTAATAGAGTTAAAGAGCGGGACAAGATTAATGGCCCACCATTCCACATTTAATCTCAGCAGATCTACTGAGATGCCGTCCATACCAGGGGATTTTCCTTGCTTAAACGAAAGAATTATCTTTTTCATCTCCTCAACAGTAATTTGAAATTGTGTGGTTATTGCTGAAGAAGGTTTAAAATTTTCCATCTTAAAAACTTGGGAATCATAAAAAACAGCGGTAAAATGTGTAATCCAAGCTTCATCACTTATATTAGGAAAATCAGTGGTAGCTTTTATTGAAAGGAGTGACCAAAAGGTTTTAGTATCTTTAATTTCTAATGCAGTAACAATTTTGGACCATTTGGCTTGTGAAAACACGGGTTTTTTTCCCCAGGAGCATGTTCTTAAAAGCGTTTTTCATTTCAAAATAGGTCTTCCAGAGACCTTGGGAGTTAGTGATAGAGGCTATTTTTAGACAGGTTCTGAGTTCTTTCTTGTAGTTGATACATTCTTTATCAAACCAATTATACTTATTGGAAGGTTTGTTGCTGAACTGGAGATTTAAAAAGGAAGAAAATAATTCGTGAATAGTATTATAATAATAATAATCAATGTCTGCTAAAGGCATCAGATTTTGGTTAGCCAAAGGTTCGAGAATAACTGGGTTATTTTCAAATACTGCTAATAGATCCTCCCTATTTTTATCACTTATATACATTCTTTTGGCATAACTAGTCTTATCGGTACTAATAGGAGGACAGGGGTCATTATTTCTAGAGCTTCTGTACAACTCTAAAACAATTGGAAAGTGGTCACTCTCAGAGGCAACTTCATCTATCATAAGGAAACTAAGGAATACTCAATTACAATTTTGGAGCAGAAGGTAAAATCTCCTGGAATATCAGGCCGTATTGAGCCATTCAAAAATGCAAGATTAAATTTTATTTAAAAAAAAATAAAAATTATTAACAGGCCAATCAAATCACATTAATTCCAAATCACATTAATTCCAAATTATACAGCCAAATTTTTAATTTTTTTGTTGGGGGTACCCATACTTCAAGCTCCGAAAGGGGTCCAAACATCACTCTTGCTGCTGCTTTGATTAAACAGTTCTATCCAGTTCTGTCCAGATAGTCTTTTTGTTATTTTCTTCATCTTCTTGTTATTATCATCATATATTCCTTTCTTTGTGATCTCTGATAATCTTCACAAGCGGGTGAAAGACAAACATCTCCTGTGAGGGTTTTACACTCTCCAAAAATCATATCACATAAAGGACAGACGCCATTTCCACACCTCCGTTAAAAACATTCGAACAGTCCATCCATTGATTTACAGGCTTGCCAATCTATATCTCAAGAGGGCCCTGCCAGGTCAAGATAACGTTCCGAAAACCATACATTCACATTCCAATGACCCTGGTCCTCCTCCCCCTCGTCCTCCTTAGGCAAGCCTGTCTTCACGAAATTCCATTTTTAGCTGCGTCATAAAACTTTCCTTCCATTCTCCGCTGTTTCCACCAGTTCTCTCTTTAATCAGTAATCCATTCCCACACAGTTCTTAGTCTCTGCTTGTGATTAATAATCGCAACGATTCTTCTCTCTGGAGGGGAGGGTTATTGGTACTCACATAAGGCAAAAAAAGAAAAGTTTTTTCCTCCCCCCCCTTTCCGTTTCACTCCGACATACCAGTCTTTTAATGATGATTCTTCACTTGATTTATTTATCCAGCCCTTCGCTCCGCTCCCAGAGATCCCATTAATCAGCAGTCTTTACTCCCGATCTTCACTTGATGTATGTGCATTAGCTTCTTTCCAATTATATATTTCCAATTATATATTTCAAGCTAATGCGAACCAGTGCGCTGATTGGAGACAGCGTCAGGGAGAGCCGATCTCACACGAGGGCTTCGTGCCAAGTGTCCGCACCCCCTTCTTTCGAATCCGGGGGTGAATTATGGACACAAAGAAATATGGTAATCAATTAACCTATTTTGAATGTTGGATTACACAAAAGTAGAATCTATTCAAAGACATGAAACACATGGGGAAACCTTCATACCCACATTACATAATTTGGTAAAATTTCAGCAATCATAAGTCTCAGCGATTGCTCTTTGCCGATGAGCCAAACCTACATATAGTTATTCTCAATATATCAAACATGCGAAGAATTGAATTGTGTTGTGATTCTCATAAAGGACAAATGTTTCAGAACAATTCCCAAATGGTAGTAGGTTAGAAGTACATGCCCTGGTGGATTCAGGAGTACAGTGGTACCTCACAAGACGAATGCCTCGCAAGACGAAAAATGCGAAGGCGAAAGAGTTTTCCGTTTTTTGAGTCGTTCCGCAAGACGAATTTCCTTATGGGCTTGCTTCGCAAGATGAAACGTCTTGCAAGTTCTTGCGAGTTTGTTTCCTTTTTCTTAAAGCCGCTAAGCCGCTAATAGCCGTGCTTCGCAAGACGAAAAAACCGCAAGACGAAGAGACTCGCGGAACGGATTAATTTCGTCTTGCGAGACACCACTGTATCAGCTAATTTTATGACCCCTGGCATTTCCTTTATCTGGAATGACTATCAACGGGAGGCCGCTGCTGGCAGGTAAGGTGGCCTACGAGACACCGTCAATGCAGATGGAGGTGGCACACCATGCAGAGACGATGGCCTTTCATATGACTAAACTGGCGGGACACCCACTGGTTCTGGGGATGAGTTGGCTAACATGACATGATCCGGTGATAGGGTTGTGGGGTGTGAAACACAGCACAGTCAAATACAACATTCCTAGAGTGGACTCAGAAAGGGGATGTCTGGACCAGCCAGTCGGAACTTCCTGTTTCCTCCTGGGCTGGGACAAACTTCCTCTACATGTGACCAGAGGTGGGTGTGACCTCACCTGTGCAGGTAACAAAATAGCTCAGGGGAGGCAGCCATCTCTCTCTCTGACTCCATTCCTCGAAGAAGCATCTCCTTAGCCTGAGATGCTTTCTTGGCTTCCAGCCAAGAGAGGACAAAGGAACTATCTCCTTATGGGATAGATTCCATGTGTATATATTTTGTAACCTAAGTCTGCCTTCTGGGATCCATTTGTGAACAGAATGTGTGAGTAAACTCTTTTATACTTTTATACAAGACTGTGTCATGTCTATTCTTTTTAAGAGGGAATAAAGGGGAATTACCAGGAAACTTATTTTAGAGGCTTATACAAGTCAGGCAAACCTATCCGCTGTGAAAGTATAAAGGGGACTATTACTCTGCTAAATTGTAGAACTTGTTAACACAAGTTGGGAAGGATATAATTAAACAATATATCCTCTCTTGCCTCCCTGAACATTCCCACAAGGGTGGGGGCAACGTTCGCTAACCTTTGGTTCCTCTTATTGTCAGAAGCACTGCTTGGGAATAGGTGAGCCTATTGAAGTGGGAGCAAGGGGGCGGAAGTACAGGGAAAACTCACTGGTGATGAAAACTTGATACCCCCACAGTACGTAGCTTATAGAGATGTGTTTTGTGAAAAGGAAGCTGACAAGCTGCCCCTCCATAGGCCTTATGATTGCAAAATAGATCTGGTTCCGGGGGCCAAACTACCTACTGGTAAGTTATATTCCATGTCTCAGGCAGTTACAGGCCCTGAAAGAGTTTCTCCAAAAGAATTTGGATAGAGGTTTCATTAGGGAATTTACTGCCTTGGGAGGGGGGGTTCTCTAGTTGTCTTTGTGAAGAAGAAAGACACAGAAGACAGGAGGCTTGTATGTGATTATAGGATTCTAAACTGCCAGGTAAAGCCAAGGGCGTACCCTCTGCCATGCATAAGTGATTTGCTAGAGAGGGTGAGGTTGACTAAAATTTTTACCAAGCTAGATCTCCGAGGGGCGTATAGTCTGATAAGGATTTGCAAAGGAGATGAGTGGAAAACCACATTTTTTACAAGATTTGGGGCCTTGGAGTACTTAGTGATGCCATTTGGGCTGCAGTCAGGGACTGCCACCTTTCAGGCATTTATTAATCATGTTTTGGGAGGGATCCAGAACAACTTTTGCTTGTTGTACTTGGATGATGTGTTAATTTATTCAGAAAGCCTAGAGGAACATGTAGAACATGTCACAAAGGTACTGAGAAGGTTGAGGGCACACAGGTTATATGCTAAATTGGAAAAATGACAGTTCCACGGGCTATTGCATTTCACCACAAGGAATGCACATGGAGAAGGAAAAGGTGCAGGCAGTGCTGGAATGGCAACAGCCCAAAACCAAGAAAGACATGCAGGGGTTCCTAGGATTTGTGAATTATTACCGTAGCTTTGTGCCCAATTACTCACACATCACAACACTGCTCACAGATTGCTTAAGAGATAAGAAAGTGTTCCAATGGACCAAGGAGGCGCAAGTGGACTTTGAAAGGCTAAAGGGGATGTTTGCTTCAGAAAAATATCTGGTGCATGTAGATCCCTACAAACCTATGGTGGTAGAAACAGACGCCTTGGATAGGGCGATAGGAGCTGTGTTGCTTCAGGAAGACGAGAAAGGGATTGGAGGCCATGTGCTTTCCACTCAAGGAAATTAAACCTGTATGAGCAAAACTACATGATCTGGGATAAGGAATTACTGGCTATACATGATTCCTTTAAGGTTTGGAGACATTTTTTTTAGAAGGTAAACTGCACCAAGTGGAGGTACGCACAGACCACAAGAACTTAGAGTATTGGCACAGTGCGGCACTTAAATAAGAGGCAAATTAGGTGGGCAGTTTTTTGCTAGATTTAATTTTACGATAGTGTATGTACCGGCGCCTCAAAACGCCTGGGCAGACACCTTGTCCCGAAAACCTGAATATAGGATGAAAAAGGCAGCACCAGTGATGAGAGAAATTTTGAAGCCGGAACAGTGGCAGTGTGCTGCAGCAATGATGAGTGGTAGAGAGTTCTGGGAACAGACAGCTACATTCGCACAGAAGAAGTTAGCCGAGTTAGCCCAGGGGAGGGGAAAGGAAGAAGGTTTTGAGAAGAAAGAGGGGTTGTTGTATAAGAAAGGAGCTATGTATGTTCCAGAAGGGAATTTAAGAGCTACGGTTCTACGGCAACACCATGATACTCCTACCGCAGGCCATTTTGGTTTTAACAAGACAATGTATCAATTCATGAGGCATTTTTGGTGGCCTACGGCGAGAGAAGACGTGGAGGGTTATGTAAGGGTGTGCAAGGTGTGTCAAAGAGCAAAGGGATCGAGAGAAGTACCAGCAGGGTTATTGAATTCCCTTGGACACGCCCAACAAGCCTTGGGAGGTGGTCTCTATGGATTTCATAACCGACTTGCCAGTGTCACAGAAGCAAACTAATTTGGGTGGTGGTAGACTTGTTGACTAAGATGGCACACTTTATACTGCGTCAAAGGGTGCCTTCCGCCCAACAGACTGCAAGTATGTTCATAGACCACTTGTTTAAGCTACATGGGCTGCCACCAAGAATAATTTCTGACAGGGGAGTACAGTTTACCTCACAGTTTTGGAAGAAATTGATGGAGTTGCTAGATATTTGAGATGTTACACTAATTACCAACAGGATGATTGGGTAGGGAAGTTAAGTTTGGCAGCATTCGCGTATAACATAAGGTTACCATATTTTTTTCAATGAATCTGGGGACACTCTTCAACTTCAATGGACTTTGTATAGGGACTGATTTGTAATTCCGGGGACTGTCCCCAGGAAACGGGGATGTCTGGTAACCTTAGTATAACAATGTGGTACATGCATCTACTGAGCAAACACCTTTTGTGGCTAATTATGGTTTACACCCCAGGGCCTTTCTGGGTCAAGAAGAGTTGCTGTCAGTGACAGAGGCTGAACAGCTCATGAGGAAGAGGGGGTGTTTCCATGAAATGTTAAAAGAGACCTTGGAAGCAGCCAAGGCAGTGTACAAGCAAACAGTAGATGCTCATAGACAAGAGGGTAGGGACATTAGAGTAGGAGATAGTGTCTGGTTGTCCTCAAAAGGTCTGCTGCTCAAGGGGAGGTGTCAAAAATTAGAACAAAGAAGGTTGGGACCTTTCAAAGTAATGGAGCAAATTAATCCAGTATCGTTCAGACTCAAATTGCCGGGTACCATGAGAATACATCCGGTGTTTCATAGATCCTTATTGTCACCATTCATTCCAGCACATAGGTATCAAGAGGCTAAGGCAGCGCCTCCTCTGCCAGTAATTCTGGATGGTGAGGAAGAGTTTGAAGTAGAGCAAATTTTGGATTCCAGATGGTGTAGGAGAAGGTTGCAGTATTTAGTGGCCTGGAAAGGTAACGATTTATCCGAGAATTCTTAGGAACTGGTGAGCAATATTCATGCTCCAGAGTTTCATAAACAGTACTGAGACTGAGAGGGTGGTCAGAAGGGGTAGTAAGCAGTGAGAGCGAATGAGAGGAGAATCAGTTTGAAAGAATCAGCACCTCCCCCCCCCCCCCGGTGGCTAGCGAGGAAGAAGAGGAGTGGGAGGGGCTTAGAGAGGAGGGTGGTGTCAGGGCGCATTTGGACCGTTCTGCATCTCCTGACATGCAGCAACAGAGTAGGGAAGATAACATCTGGCAGGGGCCAGACGGGGTAGAGAATAGCAGGTTCAGTGACGAAGATGAAGCAGGGACCAGTAGGGAAGGGTTAATTCCTCCACAGGTAGAGGAGCAGAAGACTGAAACAGGAGAGCTGACTGACCTCCAAACTCCAAAAGGGTTAAGCTCTGACTCGGAGGGAGGGGAGGGAATTATGTCAGCACGTTTCAGGCACACAGAGAAACAGCTGAGGAGTAAGAGGAGGGTCATAAAACTCCCACAGTTTAGGTGTTGGAAAAGAAGCCGTAAATAATTGACGGCAACTGACTGAGCCAATTCAGACTGATTTACTGTGAGCTCTTGTTGACTTGTACATAATGTAAAATAAAGACCATAAAAATCATCGAGCCGTGGTCGCTTCTGCTTGCAGAGGAGAGAGCACGTACTGACCTGACATATGGGGTGGAAGGTTTGCAGGCTATGAAGGACTTACAAATTTATTGACAGCTGCACGTATTATTATGCTAGGAAGTGGAAGGGGCAAGCAGAATATAAAATGGAAGAACGGTATAAAGAGGTGTGGGATATAGCTATTAACAATAAATTGACGTGTGCCATTAAGATAAGACGGGGAATATGAAGGAAATGATTTTGAGGAAATATAGAGAGTGTTTGTATAATTTGTGCTGTTGAAGGGGAAAGGGGTCAAACCATCACAAGAGGTGTTGAAAGTTTGGGAGGTTGGATAGTAACAATGGAATGGTCTCGGTGGTGGGGTGCACTTTTTTATTCTTATTTATTTATAATTATGACTTTTTAAAAAAGAGATGCTGTTTGAAAAATATGATGGGAGACTTCTGGGTCTGCCACGGGCAGTGGTGGATGGCAGATGCACCTTCTCTATAAAAGCCTGAAGGATTATTTCGGGTCCCAGAGGGTCTAGCGGTGTCAGTGGACACTCTCACAGCATTCCCAAAGATCCCGAGGGAGCTGTGGTAGCGCCGCGATTGAGCACAGACACACGCCGCAGTTGAGACCCCACAGCAAGAGGCCTCAAGAACCATCACCAAAGCAGCAACCTCTCTGAAATAAATGGATTTGGAACCAATTTGGAGAAGGTAAAAGGACTTAAATTATTGATCAGGAACTAACTGAATCCACACCAGGGAGGAAAAAAGGAGGTGCTCCCCTGTACATGGGTATCAAACTGCATGGAGAAAATCTGCAGGGGTAAATAAAAGTAAAGATACGAGGGTCGCTCATTAAAAATTTCTCCTGACCCACTTCTGGTTATTGTAGGAGGATGAAATTGCACACGTATAATGATACATCTCTCCATAGGTAACGTGGTAATTTGTAACTCTGAAGGGAAGCATTGCCACATGACTGCGGCATGATGGGAAACTTTGCTTCTGCACATGACTGTGGCATGATGGGAAGTCTTGCTTCTAAGCTTTTCTCCTTCTCATGCTGCACAAACCGTGCTGATGCTAAGACATTCCCTCATCACCCTGGTACGTTCTGTTCACCTTGAGTTCACACCATATCAATCTGCACTTATCCCTCTGTGTACATTCCTTTCGTACCACCCTGGTACGGGCAGTCCATTAGTAGCACCACATCGATCATGATAAGAAGGAAACCATGCGCATTCCTTTTCCCAACCTTTAACCTATCGATGATTAATGTCTTATATGAAATGATTAATGTCTTATATGCAACCCTTGCTTTGTACTTATGTTAACCAATCAGCAACAAGCACATACGTGGCAAACGCGGTAATATTCAATAAAAGGGACTCTCCGGGGCTTGCTCAGGAGATGCCTCCCGTATGACACCTACCTACTCGTCTGTCGTTCATTTCAACCCAACAGAACTCCTAAAAGTTTATTTGCTACCGGTGCTAACATGGAGTAACGTCTGATAATGGAACCAGTTGAATGCAGAGCGGTCATAAGGCTCCTGTACTTGAAAGGGCGCACACCACGGGAGACATTTAATGAGATGAAAGGGACTTATGGGGAGGATGCCCCATAGTATGATGTAGTCAAGCACTGGCATCGTCAGTTCAAATGTGGTCAGACTTCGGTGGAAATGGCTCCCATTCCTGGGCAACCACAGTCCGCCTTTGATTAAGACACCATCCGGCAAGTGGAGGCAGCCATTTTGGAGGATCGCCACATAACCGTTTGCTAACTAGCTGCAGACGTCAAGATCAGTGTGGGCTCTGTTGAAAAAATCATTCATGACCATTTGCACATGGGAAAGGTGTCCACACAGTGGGTTCCCCGGCTGCTGACACCTTTCCAGAAGCAAGAATGAGTCCTATGCTCACAGGCTTTTTTGACCATGTGTCACGAAAACCATGATGACTTCTTCGCCAGACTAATTACTCAGGACAAAACATGGGTCCATCATTATGACCCAGAGACTAAATCCCAGTCCAAACAATAGAAGCACTCTGCCTCACCACCTCCAAAGTAGGCACGTGTCCAACCGTCAGTGGACAAGTCATGCTCACTGTCTTTTGGAACCAGCATGGAGTAGTGATGATGGATTTCCTGGCAAAGGGTACCACAATTACCAGGACATACTACGCTACACTGCTGCAGAAATTACAGAAAGCCATCAAAATCGAGAGGTGTGGTATGCTGCTCAAAGGTGTCTGTCTCCTGCAGGATAACACCCCGGTTCACAACTCGCATGTTGCTCAGATGGAAGCATGGTCCTGTGGCTATGAAATCCTTCCTCACCCCCTTATTCTCCTGACTTCATACCAACGGACTTCCACCTCTTTCCAACCATGAAGTTATTTTTGAAGGGCAAGCTTTTTCCAGATGATGAAATGCTGATTTCTGAGGTCAAGTTGTGGCTTCTGACGCAACCTGATAACTTCTACAGATGAGGTCTCCATAGCTGCATAAAGCGATGGAAGAAGTGTGTGACTCTTGAGGGTAGCTATGTAGAGGAGGACTAATAACTTGCCCAGTTTCGTTTGTCTCAGTCTATGGGAAGTACATCAGGGGAAAACTTTAATAAGCGCCCCTCATATCTACCCACTAATGAATTTATATATAAGCATACCAGTATAAGAACTGAGCTAAGACTGTGAAATTGAGAAGAGTACTGGATGCACTATTTTAAATTTTGTGTGTGTGTGATTATATTCTGGTAAGACTGCCAAACTGTAAAAGGACTTAGATTAAATCTGAACAATGGGAAGGAGAAAGACAGAAAGTGGAACCTGGGCTTTGTGATCTATATAATTGATATCAAAGAATATTTTTTCTTTTTCTTCTTAAGCCAAAAGACCTAGACATCGCAAGACTGGAATTATATAACTTAATATTGGGAATTGCTTGGGATTATATTTAGAATCTTGAAAATAAACTGATTTTGGGGGACTGACATCAAGCAGAGAAAGATTTTGAAGCTGTGATTTTTTGTGTGGATATATTTTATTGTATTCTTTCCTCTCTTTGGATTTTGTACTGGTGTGGATTATATGGCTTTGTGAATTATCACTAAAATATGGATTAATTGGAGGGCTTTTTGAAGAGGCTGAAGGAGAAAATGGAGACTTTGTTGGTTAAAGGTATTTAAAATTTCCTTAAATTGGATAACGGGGGAGCTTTGCAAGTGGCTGAAGAAAAGAAAGGAAAAAACATTGTGGATTTATATGGTTTAACACCTGTCTTTCTAACTGTATTACAACTTTCTATTTGAGTAAAAGGCTGAACTTGATAGAACTTTCTGGGATCCTGTACAAAGCTCATGACTGTGTTTGGGTGAAGGAGGAAAAACTGGAAACAGGAAAGATAAACAATAGAAAAAAGTGATAGTGGTAGAAGGGACAAAAGATAGAAAGACAGTGACACAGTGTGGTGGGAAAAATAATTACAGGGGAATTTTATTTTATTTTTTATTACCTCCCTTTCCATGAAAGGGGCGATAGCACCTGTAAGGAGTTTATGCTGCCAAAGCTAGCAGAGATAACGCTCCCGGCACGCAGCCATTTCTGTATTGAAGATTTATTGCCAAAAAGTTCAAAGCAGTTACAAGAGTTCAAAAGGCACATCCATCCCAGGCTCAGTCAGATGAATCGACTGGCGATCTTTTTCTCCTCCTCCCCCAGCAGGACCATCTGCGCAATGCACGCCTCCTACTTCCTCTGTTCTGTGAGTAGCTAGTTCCAGGCACTGGCTCCCCCCTCCCTATTTCCTCCTCTGAGTCGGATGAGACACTGCTGATGAGCGTTTTAGGCTCTCTGTAATTGCCTCTCTCCCCCCTCTTTAGCCGTCTCCAATTCCCTGACAGCACCATCTGCTGACATTTCAAGGAAATGACAAGTATTGATTTTTATTTTATGAAACAGGGAATTTAAAAGTATAAAACCTTTTTTAAAAAAACTTTTAACAACTTTATTTGCAACATTATGGTAAACACAGCAAAAAAGCCACCTTCAGGACCACCAACAACTCCGGGTCAGAGAAAAGGTTCAATCTCAGAAGGGGAAGCGGTCAGATTTGACAGTAACTTTATTAGAAATGAGGAAAGAAATGAAAGAAGGTATTCAGAGGCTGGGGGAAAAAACAGTTAAAAATACTATATTAGTAGCAAATTTGACAACAGAAATAAAAGAATTGTCACATAAAACATTAGAATTGGGGGGGGGGGGGAGAGAGACAGTGCAAGAACTAAAGGCCAAAACTTCAAATTTGGAGGAATCTTCAAAGAAAGTACAGGCAGAGATAAAATAGACAAAGAGGGGGCAAGAGAGGATGAAAGAATATACAAAGGCAGTGAAACTACTTCAGGAACAGGGATTAGATGTGATGGTGGTCCTTGAATTAAATCAAAAGGACTTGACTCTTCGATAAAGAGGTGTACTGGAGGATTCGACGGATGAAAGAAGAGAAAAAATAATAAAAGGATTAGCTAATTTAATAGAACTACAAAAAGAAGAGGTTAATGCCACAATTCATAGTGTTTTGAGTAAAATCTAGATTTGCAAAAGCAAAACAACTGCTGGGAGACTGTTTGGTTATCTTTAATCTGAAGAGAATTAAAGAAAGAGTAATACAAATGCACTATCAAAAGAATATTCAGATTGATGACAAAAAATAATAATTTTGAAAGAAATCCTGATGAGAAACAGACATTGTACAAAAGAGGTAAAAGTTCTAACCAACTATTTTGAGGTAGATAAGGGGCTGCTGGGAAAGCTGTAATGAGATTTTTTAAAAAAATACAAAAGGGATCTATTCAAAAAAAGTTAAAAGAAAAAGAAACAAGAATTATTAAAGGAAATCACTCTATCAGAGAAAAGGTTGGTTGAAAAACCAGGAGATACAAGGATAATACAAGGTATTAAAATGTTGCAAGCTCAGCTCTCAATGTTAGTTCTCCAAGAGATGGAGCGGAAACTAAAGTATATGAAGAAGAAACATTTTGAATTTGCAAATAAACCAGGTAGACTACTTGCATGGAAAATAAAAAAGGAATAACATACAATGAAAAAGCAATAAGACAGGGATTTTATTCCAGACTGAACCAAGGCAATAAGGTGGACATGGATGAAATAGAAAGAAATCTGAAGGGGAGAAATCTACCAAAATTAGCAAAAGACCAAGTTACTACACTGAATGCTCCAATCTTGGACAACACAACACAAGGCTATGGTCTCATGCTACACTCCAAAGGCCCAGAAGACGTCTGGATCTTTCTTCATCGTCGATTCAGGAGCGACTCGGCACGTCTGCAAAAACAAACACCTGTTTGTGTCCTTTACTCCACAGGAAGGTGCAATTCACCAAGCGGATGACCACACAATCTCCAGTCAAGGCTATAGAACGGTTGTGCTTCACAGCTTGGATGCATCGATACGTAACGTTCTTTTTGTTCCAGATGCTGCACACAACCTATTGAGCGTCTCGCAGCTGACTGAACAGGACATAGACGTTTTCTTCAAGAAGAGGAAGTGCACCATCACCAAGAAAGATGACTTTGTACTGCATGCTGATTATATTGATCGTTTGTTTGTATTGCATTATGATGATTCTGTTGATGTTGTGCAGGATGAAACTTCTTGTATTGCAGATACTAACAAGGTTTTGCATGCAGGTTGTATTCATGATCATCACAGAAAACTTGATCACTTAAACTTCGAGGCAGTTTCCAAAATGCCTGCCTTAGTTGAAGGTATGACTATTAAACCCTGCAGGTACCACATGAAGTATAAGGCATGTACAGCAAACAAGGTTAAAATGGCTGCAAAGGGTAAGGTATCTGGTAGACAAGCTACAGAACCATACCAGGTAGTGCATGCTGATCTTGTTGGTCCACTAGCACCCTCTTTGGGTGGAGCCAAATACTTTATGGTTCTCTTTGATTCTTAATATGAATCAGATGATTCAGAGGATTTCAAGAGTGCTAAGGCCTCTCTGAGACCCTCTGAAGGCTCTGATCAAGAAAATGGAGGAACCACTGTTCACTATAGGCCACTTTTCTCCTAAGAAAGAAGGGGAGAGCGTTGAAGACTTACGTCTGATTCGCAGGTCTGAAAGAGCCACAAAAGGTAGACCTCCAAAGAGATTTGCTGATGAATTTGCTAAAGCAGACAAAGCTGTAACTGCTGTTAATACCTCCAAGAAGGTATCTGAACCTTCAAAGTTCCAAGAGATCCAGGCTTTGGACTCAAAGGATGCTGAGCCATGGTTAAATGCCATGAAGGCTGAGCTTGATTCCTTAGAGAGGAACAAAACATGAGAGCTAGTTCCGACAGTTCCAGGGATGAAACTGCTTGACAGTAAATGGGTCTTCAAAGCAAAGACAGACCAAAATGGCAAGGTAGTCAGACACAAAGCCAGACTGGTTGCCAGAGGTTTTTCACAGGTACCAGGAGAAGACTATCACGAGACCTACTCACCCACCGTGAGATATGAGAGCATTAGGCTTATGCTCAAACTTGCTGCAGAGGAGACTCTAGAAATTTCTCATCACGATGTGAATACAGCATTTTTGTACGGAACCTTAGGTGAATCACTTTACATGCTTCCACCTGATGGCGTACAGGTAAAACAGGGATTTGTTTGTTCTCTGAAGAAGTCCCTATATGGTCTCAAGCAAAGTGCACAATGCTGGCACTCTAAACTCACTGAAGTGTTGTTTTCTCTAGGTTTTCAGCAAGGTAAAGCTGATCCATGTGTGTTTGTCAAAGAGGAAGGGCAAAAGAAGCTGTATTGCTTATTTTATGTTGATATTCTTTTCTTTTGGAAGGATGTCAAAATGTACAATAACGCCCTAGCTCAACTGAAAGAGCACTTTGACATGAAAGATCTTGATAATGAATTGATTTTAGAATGCTGTATTATTTTACTGTTGTTAGCCAGTCTGAGCCCGGCTTCGGCTGGGAAGGGCGGGATATAAATAAATTATTATTATTATTATTATTATTATTATTATTATTATTAATGTTATAAAAAGAAGCTTATATAGTGTGTGGACCTGATATAAAAATCTCCTTGAAAAGAAAGCACCATTGTGGTTATTTCCAATATACTGTAGACATCTGTGCAAAAGAAGTTGAACATGGAAGGATAATGGGTTACATATAGGGATATATTAAGGTTTTTCAGAGATTGTTCTGAATTGAAAAAAAACATGAAGAAGTCCAGGAGTGGGTGACAGGGTGGCTTCAATACCACCAAGTAAATCAATTATTTAAGAAAGATGGGATATATGGTTTTATAGACCAAAGATCTGAATTTGAATTAAGATTGCTAGAAGTTAAAGAAAAACCACTACAGCCAGAATTCTGTATGCACAGAAATGAAAATAAGAAGTTACAACAAAAGAGGAGTGGACTTTGAAATTATTGGACTATGTGGAAATGGAAAAACTGAATGGCAAAAATAAGAGACCAAAAAAAAAAAGAAATGTTTGAGGAAGAGTGGAGACCCTTTTCAGATTATGTGATAAAATACTATAGTCAAATAAAATCACACAAAGGACTTGAAATATAAGCAAAGGAATGAGAATGATAAAGAAATGTAATGTAGGATATATGTTATAGGGGAAAAAAATTGCATTTAAGGCAGTAGATGAACAATTTGAACAGAAACATCATGGAAATAAGGATGGGAAGTCAAAATGTTAAGAGAATATTGTATTGAAACTGAAATGAATTTGCTAAATTGTTTGAAAACCAATAAAAACTTATGAAAAAAATTAACCATCAGGTTATGAAAAGATGGTAACACTGGATCAAGTTTATCAAATGAATTAAAGTTTTAATTTGGCTTTGAATAAATGTGCAATTCATTGTTACTGTTTTGAATTTTATTGCGTTATTATCTTCTTTAGTGAGTCACGCAAACCACTATTCTGAATGATGCTTTTAAAAGGTAGGGGGCACTTAGGATGAATTTATGAATCCAACAGGGCAGTGGCCCCAAAAAGTTTAGGAATCACTGGGTTGACACTTCCTTTACTTAATGCAGCCTCTGCTAACTGGGCACTCCCCAGATGTTTTGGACAACTCCCATCAGCCCCAGGAGATGTGGGCCAAAACATCTGGAGGGCATCAGGTTGGCATATGATGTTAAATGGTTCTCCAAGTGGTAGTGGTGGGGCTTTCGCCTTTCCCACAAACTCTTAACTCACAGTCCATGCTAGCAATCCAATCTCAACCAATTTAATTCCTTACAATTACAGTGCAGGGAGACCTTCAAAAGGCAGCAATTCTTGGCACTGGGGAGAAGGTAGATGAAGCTGCCTTATTCTGAGTCAGACCACTGACTGACCTTGCCCATTACAGCCATCTCTGGATATTGCAACAGCTCTCTGTGGTCTCCAACATGTCCCTCCCCCCTTATATGTTGCCACCTGAAGCTTTCAACTGCAGGAGTAAGGCTTGAACCTGCTGCCTTCTGCTCAACTCCTAAGCTATAGCTCCTCACCACAGTCACTGGTCACCATGCATGAGCAAAACAGAGATGGAAAAGAACAGAGAACATAAGAGCCTGCTGGATCAGGCCAATGGCCCATCTAGTTCAGCATCCTGCTCTCACAGTGGCCAGACAACTACCTGTGGGAAACCCCCAAGCAGGATTCCAGCACAAGAGCACTTTCCCTTCCTGGGGTCATCAGCAACTGATATCTAGAAGTACTGCTGTCTCCAGCCATGGAAGCAGAGCATAGCTATAATGGCTAAAAGGTAAAGGGACCCCTGACCATTAGGTCCAGTCGCAGACGACTCTGGGATTGCGGCACTCATTTCGCTCTATAGGTCGAAGGAGCCAGCGTTTGTCTGCAGACAGCTTCCGGGTCATGTGGCCAACATGACTAAGCCGCTTCTGGCGAACCAGAGCAGCGCACGGAAACGCCGTTTACCTTCCCGCCGGAGCGGTACCTATTTATCTACTTGCACTTTGACGTGCTTTCGAACTGCTAGGTGGGCAGGAGCAGGGACCAAACAATGGGAGCTCACCCCGTTGCGGGGATTCAAACCGCCGACCTTCTGATCGGCAAGCCCTAGGCTCTGTGGTTTAGACCACAGCGCCACCTGTGTCCCTAGCTATAATGGCTAGTAGCCATCAATCTCCATGAATTTGTCAGATCCTCTTTTAAAGCCAAAGAATTCCATCACTGCCTCCAGTAGTGTGCTGTGCCTATGTACCATAGTCGCCAGGTGTGTGGGGGGGGCTGTGGGTGCTCCAGCTCCCACAACAAGGGGCGCGTGGTCTGGCCAGGCATGAGAATGCTGCCTAGGCAGCGCTGCACAGTCGAGGACAACACTGCCACGACTCTCCTCCTTCTCTCCGCCTCCCGGGTCAAACCTGATCCAGGAGCAGAGCTGCAGCTGGGAGCAACCCTGTACAGGAGAGAGGCGTCACCACAGCAACACAGCTGCCATTGCCCCTCCTCTCCGCCCAGTGCAGGCCGCGACTTTCCACCTAAGCAGAGCTGAGGCTGGGTGTGAGGGAGATGGCTGCTCTCTCTCATGCGCAGCCCAATGCAGGACAGGGGTGACAACACTGCTGCTGCCGCCACCTCTTCTCCACTCTGTCCCTGGGTCATGTCTGACCCAATAGCGGAGCTGCCGAACGAGGAACGAGGAGCCAGGCTCCAATGAGGCCTGCTCATGACCCCTCTCAAAAATGTGCCTAGGTGTGTGGGGCCAAGCCGGCGGGCCTGCTTTGTACTTTTGTCCTGCCGATCAATGACACTTTCTGGTTTAAATTTCTGGTGCTGTGTTTTCTTTCTTTTTGCTATGCTAGAAGAGAAGAGATGTGCCATGTCGTGCAGTGCAGTGCCCCGCCCCTCCCCCTCTCAAAGACAGATTTTGAAGTTGGGCCGACCTGGAAAGGCGCTCAACCTCTCAGGACCCCATTTGTAATCTAAATATAATCTCCTCTTTTCCAGGCTAAACATACCCAACTCCCTCAACAGTTCCTTATAAGACTTGGTTTCCAGACCCTTGATCATCTTGGTTGTCCTCCTCTGCACACATTCCAGCTTGTCAAGATCCTTCTTTAATTGTGGTGTCCAGAACTGGACACAGTATTCCAGGTGTGACCAAGGCAGAAGAGAGTGGCACTATTACTTCCCTTGATCTGCACACTAGACTTCTGTTGATGCAGCCTAGAATAGCATTAGCCTTTTTTGCTGCTGCATCACACGGTTGATTCATGTTAAGCTTGTAGGCCACCAAGACCCCTAGATCCTTTTCACGTGTACTGCTAGTAAGCCAGGTCATCCCACTTCTTGTATTTGTGAAGCTGGTTCCTCCTGCCTAAGTGTAGAACCTTACATATGTCCCTATTGGAATTCATTTTGTTAGCTTACACCCCGTTCTCCAATCTGTTACGGTCATTTTGAATTCTGATTCTGTTTTCTGTAGCGACTCCTCCCAGTTTGGTGTCATCTGTAAATCTGATGAGCATCCCCTCAACTCCTTCATACAAGTCATTTATAAAGACGTTGAACATCAATGGGCCCAGGACAGAACCCTGTGGCACCCCTCAGCTGTTCTCTAAGAATTCTCAAAGATTATAGACAGAGGCTCTGAGATTACATCCGCAAACTCCTTTAGAACCCTTGGGGGTGCAACTCATCGGGCCCTGGAGATTTGATTTCATTTAAAGTAGCTAGGTGTTCCCTGACCACCTCTTTTCCAATACCTGCCCTTCATTCTAAATTAAAACACAATGTTTAAAACATGCCAGACGCATCTCTGTGGTGAGGGAGGTCTACAGCTTAGGAGGTCACCATGGAGAAGGCCCTCTCCCCCTGGGCCACGACCACCCCTAGCCTCTGAGGGTGGAGGAACTACCCAGAGTGCCCCCTTTCCTGATCAGGGTCTGTAGGGAAGTAGGCAGTCTTTCAGTTATTTTTGGCCTGAGTCTTAATCCAACACTCTAAGGACTACACCACACTGCCTCTTGCACTGGGTGACAATTCTCATCAACCCCAGCTAGGATGGCCATATGATGCTGGGGATGATGGGAGTTACAGTCCACCTATCCAGAGGGCAAAATGTTGGGAGACACCTGAGCTGTTGCCCTACATCTGCTGGTGCACTTAAATCACAGCAGTGGGAAGAAAAGCTTAGCAAATATTTCTGTTATGTACTAAGCTTGGATCCTAGAACAATAGGCAAGTAGGATCCTAGAATGCAACAACTGATTGGCTTGCAGGAAAAGACCAATCAGGCTCCAGGAGGAAGTTAATCAGCCTATTAGGCTGGTAGGATCGTAGAATGCAACAACTGATTGGCTTGCAGGAAAAGACCAATCAGGCTCCAGGAGGGAAGCTGAATCAGCCAATCAGACGGGACTCATTGTGTAAATAATGTATATAAAAGCCTGAGGTTTGGGGGGCAATTCAATCACTGTTTTACAAGCTGCAATAAAAAGCATGAAATCAGTATAGGACTCGATGAGTATATTTCAATTTCAGTTTATGCACAAACATAATCCAACCCCCTGATAATCCATAATCAATGTTTGAAAGGTCCCTACAAATATCGACAGAAGTTAAAATACATGCAAACAAACAAGATTTAGCATTTGGGTGTGGGAGGGTCAAAGTGAATTCTTCTCACCAAGTGGCCTCTTTTCAAGCTAAGAGCATTTCAACAGGGCTCTAAACTGCTTGTGTCTTTTTATGCGCCTTATGACTCCAAAGGGGGGGGGGGTCCATTCAGCCATGGATTATGCTAGATGGCTTTGTTGCAGAAAATGGTGCGTGATCAGGAGTGGCCTATGAAGCTCAAAAACTGAGCTAATCCAGCCTTCAAATGGGGAAATTACAGAGAAAACACACACAAAATTGGTGGAGGTGTAAGAATTCTAAGGTCTCATGTAAAGAATAAGTATTCATAAATGCACACATATATAAGTATATATAAGTATCTGAAGAAGTGTGCATGCACACCAAAGCTCATACCAATGAGAAACTTAGTTGGTTTCTAAGGTGCTACTGGAAGGAATTTTTTTATTTTGTTTCGACTACGGCAGACCAACACGGTTACCTACCTGTATACAAACCATGTATCTGAAATAGTACAGGAGAGCAATCCTGAAGCCATTTTGACTCTCCCAATGACGTCAAATATTCCTCTTACATTACACCACCAGCAGGCTAAACAACTTACACACTGTTCAATTCCCTAATTACTGTGCATTTAATAAACACCATTTGTTTAGTCATGTCCATGTGGGCGAAAAAGTCAGCCACTGACAGGGGTGCCAACTGGAATAAAATATTGGGGGCAGGGGCACGTTGTCATGAATCTGCCCCATATCGATCCAGAGCAGACCTCAACGTATAGTTAGCAGAGTAAAAACTTAAAACACCTTGCAGAGTTCCCCAAAAATAAACCAGAGGCAATTAACTTCACCCAGTAGAGTTTTCACTACTGAAGGCAAATGAGCTTAGCGGTCACAAATTCAATTCTTCAGGATCGGCACAATCCATAGGAAATCCAGTTGTAGTAAAAAACTTCAACTTAGATTAAACTTACAATAAGACTAAAACCTTAACACTCAGCATACTGTGTACAAAACACCACACCAGAAGGAAAGAGAGACATAAAAGTGAAACCCATGCTCCTTCTGGCCTATTATGATAGGGCACAATGACCTTGAGAGAAAGAAATAACAGAACCAGTTTGAACCAGCTGTTCAGCTTCTCTGAAGGAATAAGCCAAACATCAGGAACATTCTGTTTGTTTCTAGGCACAACAGAAAACTCACTTGTTAGATAGAAACTTCCAGCTTGTATCACACAGGGCTCCCAGTTACTGCCACTGTAGTTAACAGCACTCAAATTCCCACATTGCAATATTTGCATGAATAAACAACAAAGTGTCTGTGAGAGTTTAACAACCGTTCTTGTTATGGCATGAACTTTTGCGCGCGCGCGCACACACACAATACATATAATAGAAATGAGTTTTAAGTAACTGATTTTACAACAATTATAAACCATCATCTTATTGGTATTCTTTTTAGTCTAACTGGAGTCCTGTACTATCCTGATATTATTTGAAGTTAAGCTCTTGTGTTTCTGAGGTTTATGACTTTAAGATCTGTAACTGAATGCCCAAGAATTTGAGTTTCCTATGGCTGCATTCACACATGGGTTTTATTCCATTATTTTCACTGATGATAAAGTTAGCACTTTTGTTGTATTTTCTAATAATTTTTTCTTGCACTTTCAAATTGAATTCAACCTCTTATCCCACATGAACACACATTTCAAGAAATAATTTAAGAGAAGATGATGGGAGTTTGCATGGATGCCTAAAAAACAATAGCTCTGGAGGCAACCACACAACCTTGGATTTGAAGAGACCAGAAAGGCCACATGCTGAGTAAGTCACAGTTTTCAGGATGCTGCAAAACCATTGCAGAATTTTAGCACTGGTCTGAAGTGAATCAGACAATGTTGATTTTTTTGTAAATACTCCTTACAAAAAGAAAATGAAAAAAGCATGTTTAAGCTGGCCATTCTTGTTTTGAAGGATAAGCAGTCCAGTCTGTTTTTTTGCCAAAATTCCCCCTCCCCACCACAATTTGCTCTTGAAGTTGCTGTTAGTCAACTGCATCTGGGGGAGCAGATAGCAACCCCAGCCAAGATTTTCCGAGGGGAAACTGGTATGACACCCTGGAACAAAATGTATGTGGAGGGAGGCTTTTCAGCTGTTTCTCTTGCAAAATAAAGATGGCCAGAGAAAGTGTGCTTAAAACAACAACCACCAGTGTTTAACTTTAACATGCAGCTTTTAATTACTGATTCAGCATTTTGCATATCCTTCATCTGGCCTTAATTTCTAAGGCAGCTTTCAAATGCACAGGAAAAAACAGGATATAGCAAAGCTGGGGCTGTGATTTCAAGCAGGGGGGTGGGTGAGACTGACCCTTTATCCACTGGCAGCTTTTCAACTAAATAACAACTCCCTCCCTGGCAAGCTGCTTTTCTGCCACAGAGGGTTCTGTCCTCACTGTGTTTCAAGTGAGTGTCTAAATTTTTGCAACTAGAACCCTGCAGGGTAAATACAACGTGGCAGGGGGTACATGTGTTGTTGACACACAGAGAGAAAGAAGCTCACGGTCACTCACCACTCCTCTGCTGAAAAGCATTCAAAGGCTGTTTTCAATTTACATTAAATTTTATCCTTACAACAGCCCTGTGAGGGAGGTCAGGTTGAGTGACTGTAGCTCACCCAATGAGCTTCATGTCCTAATGGGAACGTGTCCATTGGTCTCTTTAGTCCTAACCCAGCACTCTAACCATTATAGCACACTGTCTCCAACTCTTAAGTATTTGTAAATACAAATGAACAGTGATACTGGGAACCAGATTAAAGAGCTTTGTAGAAATGGGCAAAAATGTTTCATCGATATTATAACCAACACTCAAGTTGGCAGGGCAGAGTTAAAACTATGGAACTTCCTCCTGCAGGAGGCAGGACCTAGATGGCTTTAAAAGAGGATTAGGCAAATTCATGGAAGAGGAAAAGGCTGTCAATGGCTAGTAGCCACAATGGCCATGCTCTGGCTCCACAGTTGGAGGCAGTAATGCCTCTGAATGCCAGTTGCTGGGAGCCACAGGAGGGGAGAAGGCCCTTGTGCTCAGGTCATACTTGCAGGTTTCCTGCTGGGGCATCTGGTCAGCCACTGTGAGAACAGGACTCTGGGCTAGATTCAGCAGGTTCTTCTGATGTTCTTAATATCTGCATTTGCGGCAATGGCATTACCCTTTGCTTTGAGGGGTTTTTTTTAAAAAAGGATAATTGTCCTCTGAGGCTTTGAACTTGTTAATTTTGCTGACAGCCTCACAATACCAATTGATCTGCAGAACAGAAGATCCCTAATTATACTGTCAACAAAACAGCTGTCCATACTCTCAGGGCTCACCCAGACTTCCTTTCGTGCCATGTTTCTAAGCACAGGTCCGAGCTTAAAGCACCATGTCTGAGAACATCCCCCCACTCCCCACTTTCCCTGTGAAAACCTGCTCTTTACCTCTGAATTGGAGTGAAGGGCAATTGGCAGAAAACCTTAATTGCCATTTGTTCCAATTCAGCGCCTAAAGTGCAGGTCTTTGCAGGGAAAGTGGCAGGGCAAGAAAAGATGGCTCTAAAAGAGGATTAGAGAAAGTCATGGAGAAGGCTATCAATGGCTACTAGTCACAGCAGCAATGCTCTGCCTTCACACTCAGAAGTAGTAATGCTTCTGAATACCAGTTGCTGGGAACCACATGCAGGGAGGGTTGTTCTTGTGCTTGGATCCTACTTGCAGGTTTTCCAGAGGCATTTGGTTGGCCACTGTAAGAACAGGATGCTGGCCTAATCAAGCAGGGATCTTGTTACAGTCTTACAAGTTTTACACCAATATTTACAGACATGCTAGTGATATGTGCTCAAAACAGTCACTACTTCTGACCGGTTTTCCATGCACACATTTGAAACCTCCCCCCCCCCCTTCTTTTTGCAGGCAGTGGGGAGAGAGATTTCTCCAGCACAACCTGAAAAATGCAATCTGAGTGTCATAGCAAACCCAGAAAAGGAAGTTAAGGCAGGGCAAAGCAGACAAAGGGTGTGGAGAAATAAAAGAAAGAAATGAAAGAAAGAAAGAAAGAAAGAAAGAAAGAAAGAAAGAAAGAAAGAAAGACTTTTTCCTCGCTTCTGCATGGTATGAGAAGGGAGGGTGTGATTAGGCTGCTCTCTAGGGAGATGAAAGCCCTGTGCAAAATATAGCCATTGTTGCAACAGCCAAGAACCATTTTCCGCTGACTAGGTAATCACCATCTGCGTGCCAATAGTTCACTTCAGCAATCAGCCCAGCTTTCATTGCTCATTCAGTGGGCCACTGACACTAACTCCAGGGGGCCCTGGGTGCCTGGGCACACACAAAATTTTCACTGTGGGTGCCCAGCCTCTGCCGCAGCCCGCTGCCTCCACAGTCAGAGACATAAAGCTTATGAAGTACCAGTTACTGGAAAGTACTCTTGTGCTTGAATCCTGCTTGAGAACTTTCCATTGGGGCATCTGGTTGGCTCCTGTGAGACCAGTGTGCTGGACTGGATGGGTCATTGGCCTCATCCAGCAACCTCTTCATATGTTAACGACATATCAGAAAATAATAAAAATCCCAAGCACCGAACCCATTTCCCCTTAAGTTCATGCTAACAGGGTTTCAGGTGGCCAAGCATGCAGGTGCAACATAATTCCTGAATAATGGTCCACAAAAGGTAACAGGTATGTAGGATGCTATTGTGCTAAATTAGAGGTAGCTAGGGCCCTCCAGGGCTGAAGGAATTTGATCTGGCCCCTGGAATTGTTGCCAAACATTCATTTAGTTACAGTAAAAGAATTCCCTGTGCTCATGGATTAATTTCTAACTAACAAGGGAAAGGTGTTTACAAGTTATATGAAACAGAAATATTATAAATGTTGTGACATTCAGAATCACATTGAAAGTGCTGGTGGTTTACTACAAAGCCTTAAAGAGCTTGGAGCCTGGATAACCAAAGAAGGAACTTTTGGAAGAGCTCTGCTACTGGATAAGGCGAAAGGTCCATTGAGCCAAGCATCCTGTTCTCACAGCAGCAAAACAGGTGCTCCAAAGGGAAGCACACATAATAACCAGTGTATAGTGTAGTGGTTAGAGCACCAGACTAGGGACCTGTGAAGGACCAGGGTTCAAATCCCCATTCAGCCATGAAACTCATTGGGTGACATTCAGCCGATCATTGCTTCTCAGCATAGCCCAATTCACAGGATTGCTGTGAGGATAAAATGGGGAGGAAGAGAACTTTGAAGAGCTCCTTGGAAGAATAGCGGGATATAAACACAATAAAACAAACAAACAAACAAACAAGTTATCCAGTGTCCTCATTACATTGGAAGTGATCAAGGAGAAGGCCTCTGGGTACGGTGCCCCATTTACAGAATAAATTCCCCAAGGCCAAGTTCAATATCAAGTTCATCCTGTGGCAACACTAATAACATACTGCCCAGACCTTTCCATATTTATTGATAAAAATATATATGGACTGCTGTTATCATAAAAAAATCAAAGAAGTTTACAGCAATAAAAGCATAGAACCATAAAAAGTTAAAAACATACTCTACATCAACTACATATTTATACGGGAACCTACTGAGAAGATCCATTTAAAAAGCAACTGTACCCAAAGAAACTATTGTGAAAATAAGAAATATTTTTGGGGGTGCGCCAAATTGTGTCTTCGTTCAGGGCATCATATTACCAGTGTCTGCCCCTGCTGTGTATGGTGACCTGCCACAAGGCTAATGTGGCACATCAAGGCTCACAGATAGCTTGATTTAGGGAGTAGTAAGAAAAATGTGTGTGTGGTTCTGTGAGGGAGGCAAACAAAGAGGCCATAAAGATCCAAGCAGCCTGCATCATCCTTCCATGCGGTGCAGAAGATTTTCACACATGCCAGCTATAAATGTATGGCAATATGTGATTTGCTGTGATTCTGCCTTGCAGGGGATTGTACTGCATTCATTCATTCAGCCTTTATTGGCATAATTTAGACAATAGTAAATTATTTTTTTTCTGGATATGTCCTCTTTTCCAGGGGTAAAATGCCTGCCTTGGGCGAGTTTTAAAATTTGCCAAAATGTCAGGGGGGGGGCGTGTTTCTTTGCTACCCTGGCTCCCACTTTAGGTACGGCTCTATTGGGCGCACCTCCTGTCATTCAGCAGCGCTGCAAAGCTCATTGTGTCAAGGCATTCTCTTACCTACCTACATCCCGCCCTCCGCCACCATTGGATCTGGCATCTCCTGCCTGCTGACTTGATTCGCTTCGGGGCCTGCTTTTCAAGTGGCTTTGCAAGCCTGGTTGGGTGACAGCAGCATCCATCAGCCCTCCCTTCAAATTAATTGGGTGAAAACGACGTCTCTCCAGTCAGCATCCTGCCCCATCAGAGGGGGCTGTGATCAACAGCAGGTATAGGCAAACTCAGCCCTCCAGATGTTTTGGGACTACAACTCCCATCATCCCTAGCTAACAGGACCAGTGGTCAGGGATGATGGGAGTTGCAGTCCCAAAACATCTGGAGGGCCGAGATTGCCTATGCCTGATCAACAGCTTTGCAGGAAAAGGCCAGAGAAGCAACTTGGCTGCTGTGTGGTGGGATTTCCTGTTCTGGAGAGGTCAGCTGTTCCCAACCCCTCTTTTTCTCACTCCCACCCTTTTCTGTCTCATTCCCTCTTTTTTCCCCTTCCTACCGCCCTTTCTCCCTCCCCTGCCTCATCTCCACAGTGCCAGGGCTTCACCTCGGTCTGTGTCTCTCTCCCTGCCCCCCTCGCCCGCACCCTCTCCCCCTTTTCTCTGGCAACTTGGTGGTGTCTCTTGGACTCTTTGGGATTTTATACCTAGTGATGTGTAACTTACAGGGTGGCCAGTAGCGGTGGCGCTTCCTGCTTTGCAAAGATTTTCTGGCTATTTAATTCACATCCTCTTGCCGGGAAGAAAAAAGGGGGGGAGTGATGTATGTTTTTGAGTGAGCAACATACTGGGGAGTGCAAAATGCTTTTTGCTGCAATTAGCCACCCCAAATCAAGCCTCTTGTTTTTATTTGGGCAAATTCAGCTCACCTGCCTTGTCCCTCCCGGATTGGACTCCTGATTTCCCCCTCCTGCTCCCTCCTTCCTTCTCTGCCGGGGAGAGAAATCTTTCCTGTACGGATGGTAGGATGAGAAATTGCCTCTTGGGTCCAATGTATCGTGGGCAATATAGTAAATAGTGCAAGATGTCTTCCACCTGCGGTTGCCCACATGTACAGAGTCTGTCTTCGTATGCCACCCTGTTACATCGTCTGTCTAGGATAGCAGAGGGCATAGCTTGAAAACAAAGCTCAGTAAAAGCGAATAAAGTTGCCTCATCTAAAGCTGACATTTGTTCTATTGCCAAAGAAGGTCACAGTCAATGGGAAGAATTACTACCAGGAACTGCAGAGATTAAGCAGAGAAAATTCAAGAGGTCTAATCAATCTACCAGAGTATCAAATAAAAATCATGCTCCAGATTTAGCAGATTGGACTGTCCCAGAAGAAGAGGATTTGCTGAGTAATTTTATTAACCTACCAGATAAAGAACAAAGTAACATTCTCATCAAACTAGCAAAGTTACAGTCCAGGTTGATCCTAATACAACAGCATAGACAACAAAATGCTGGTGAAATAATTGTCAACCAAGCCTTTCACCCATAACCTGTCTCTCCAAAATGTCACTCTTTGACAGCTATACCCTCAATGAAAGGTGGTAGAGCCATTGGAGGTCTAGTGTGCTTCATCTCCACAAAGTTGAATGCAACTACAACAGCCATGACTCCATGTAACCCATTTGCAACTGCTACTGTGGTTATAGTCTTGAAAGTATGCTTAATGCTGTTTAATGTCTACAATACCACCTTGTAAAAAAACAACAACAACAACAACAAACACCACTACTGTAAATACTATCTGAACAGAACTAGGGACTTATATAGAATCTCTGGAATCACTATAACCTACTGCAGTGTTTATCATTTCAGGGGGTACGCATGGGAGCCAATGATGCAAATTTGTACGCCCATTACAATCAGATTCCGGAACCAGATATTCACTTAGCTGGTGGTACTTCCCGTTTGTCTAAAGATCATAGGTGTAATTATTCAAGGCTCTGCTTAGCCCAAGGTTCACCTCCTTCATATGGATGATTTAAAAGCTATTCATACTGCAACTCACCTACCTCTGTATCTCAGGATACTGCCAAAAAGAACAGGTGGCTGTGAATTACAATAAAACCAAATAGAATCATAGAATCATAGAGATGGAAGAGACCACAAGGGCCATCGAGTCCAACCCCCTGCCAAGCAGGAAACACCATCAGAGCACTCCTGACATATGGTTGTCAAGCCTCTGCTTAAAGACCTCCAAAGAAGGAGACTCCACCACACTCCTTGGCAGCAAATTCCACTGTCAAACAGCTCTTACTGTCAGGAAGTTCTTCCTAATGTTTAGGTGGAATCTTCTTTCTTGTAGTTTGGATCCATTGCTCCGTGTCCGCTTCTCTGGAGCAGCGGAAAACAACCTTTCTCCCTCCTCTATGTGACATCCTTTTATATATTTGAACATGGCTATCATATCACCCCTTAACCTCCTCTTCTCCAGGCTAAACATGCCCAGCTCCCTTAGCCGTTCCTCATAAGGCATCGTTTCCAGGCCTTTGACCATTTTGGTTGCCCTCCTCTGGACACGTTCCAGTTTGTCAGTGTCCTTCTTGAACTGTGGTGCCCAGAACTAAATTAAATAAATTAAATAAAAATTGTCCAGTAGCACCTTATTTTGTTCTGGGTATAAGCTTTCATGTGCATGCACACTTCTTCAGATACACTGAAACGGAAGTCACCAGACCCTTATATAGAGAGGGAGGGTGGGGTGGGGTTTTTCTCAGAAGGGTAGTAGGAGATGGATGATTGACTCAATGGGTATGGTAAACCTGTTGACGACTGTTAACGACTGCAATTTGTCCTACAGGAAAAAGCAAGGAATAGTATGCAGATGACCAAAAATATCTTTAGCATATGTAATGAGACAAGAATCCAACATCTCTATTCAGACCAGGTCTCTCCATAGTTTTCAGTTTAGTAATAAGTTGTAATTCAGCAACTTCTCTTTCAAGTCTACTTCTGAAATTCTTTTGTAATAAGACAGCTGCTTTGAGATCCTGTATTGAATGTCCTGGGAGATTGAAGTGTTCTCCTACTGGCTTCTCTGTCTTGTGATTCCTGATGTCAGATTTATGTCCATTTATCCTTTGGCGTAGGGTTTGGCCTGTTTGTCCAATATAGAGAGCTGAAGGGCACTGCTGGCATTTGATGGCATACACAATGTTAGAAGATGAGCAATTAAATAGGCCTGAGATGGTATGTTTGATGTTGCTGGGTCCAGTAATGGTGTTGTCTGGGTGTATGTGGCAGCAAAGTTGGCACTGGGGTTTATTGCAGGCTCTGGTACCAGTGTCCATGTTAAGTCTGGTTGCTGTATTATTGTGGGTGAGGAGTTGTTTAAGACTGGGTGGCTGTCTGTGGGCAATGAAAGGTCTTCCTCCCAGAGCTTGAGAAAGAGAACTTGGGAGCTGTATGTGATTACTAGTGGTGTTCTGTTATTTTCTCTTTTGGGTCCGTCCTGCAGCAAGTTCTCTCTGGGTATCAGTCTGGCTTTGTTGATCTGTTGTTTAACTTCATCAGGCGGATATTTTAGTTCCAAAAAGGTTTGCTGCAGATCTCTTAGGTGAGAATCCCTGTCTGTAGAGTTGGAACAGATGAGGCTATAACATACAGCCTGACTATATACAATTGATTGTTTGGGATGGTAGCTGGAAACACGTACAGTGGTACCTCGGGTTACATACGCTTCAGGTTACAGACTCCGCTAACCCAGAAATATTACCTCGGGTTAAGAACTTTGCTTCAGGATGAGAACAGAAATCGAGCAGCAGCAGCACAGCGGCATGGGGAGGCCCCATTAGCTAAAGTGGTGCTTCAGGTTAAGAACAGTTTCAGGTTAAGAACGGACCTCTGGAACAAATTAAGTTCTTAACCCGAGGTACCACTGTAGATATGTTTGTCGGTCAGTTGGTTTTTGGTCTAAGGTGGTGTCTATGCGCCCATCCTGTATTTTTATAGTAGTGTCCAGAAAATGTATTTCTTGCATAGATTGGTTCATTGTTAGGTTGATGGTGGGGTGAAAGTCATTGAATGTCTGGTGGAAGGTGTCCATGGTCTGCTGACCATGTGTCCAGAGAATAAAAATATCGTCAGTGTATTGCAGGTACAAGAGAGGTTTGAGTGGGTAAGAGTTTAGGAAGCGTTGTTCCAAATCTGCCGTGGAGATGTTGGCATACTGTGGGGCCATGCGGGTGCCCATTGCTGTGCCGCTGATCTGGAGGAACAGGTCATCTCCAAATCTGAAGTGGTTGTGGGTGAGGACAAAATGGCAGAGTTTGGTAGCAAAGTCCACTGTGATTTTATCTGAAATGGTGTTCCTTATAGCTTGTAATCCATCGTTGTGTGGGATGTTGATGTACAGGGATTCCACATCCATAGTGGCTAGCATAGTAGTGTTAGGTAGATTGTTCAAATAAAGCAAAAGTCATGGTGTTCTCAAGAAACTATAGGGCCCACAGATGGAATATGGATAACCAGTCAATCAAACAAGTTAAACTCTTTAAATATCTTGGTCTTGTTTTTCAGTCAACAGAGTCTTGGACAGCACGCCAGAAATACGCAGAGGAAAAAGTGTCTCAAAGTGACAAAATTCTGACATGCTTCTTCCACACAAAAGGTGGAAATCACATACTTTCACCACTTGAAGTGTTTAAAGCTAAACCCCTAGCACAGTTATTATACAGGGCTCAGATTTGGACCGGTGCTCACCTTGGACCTACAGAAGCCGTTCAGTCCAAGTTCCTAAGGCAAATTTTCTCTGTCCCATCCTGTGTTTCAATTGCTTCACTGTGCTTGGAGGCTAATCTTCCCTCTGTTGAATTACAGATTTGGCATAGGTAGGACATTTAAATTTTGGCTTCGGCTGAATTTAACCCCACCGGTCTACTACCCCTAGTATTGCAAGACCGTCATGACAGCACCTGGACTAAAATTGCCATCTAAAAGCTTTATTCCTCTGTTTTATCACCACCACAACAATTATTAACATTGGACTTCTGCAAAGTAAAGAATTTAATTAGACAGCACCTATATGACATTGAACAACAGAATAATTTGGCCACTATAAGGAAATTTTGTCCATGGTATGATTATTTCTCACCTAGTCATTTTGACACATCGACACCCTATTTGCAAAATTTAACAGTTCCAAAATACAGACGTGCTTTCACTTAGGCAAGATTGAACATACTGCCTTCAGCTGTACTTGAGGGTCGATTCCAAAAAATTCCACTGGAAAACTGTTTATGTCCATGTGGAGATGGCAGTATTGAATCAGTACCTCACGTACTGCTACTGTAGATTGTACTCTTTATAAAGATTTGAGGAGTGAGGTTATTACCCCTCTACTACTATCTATACCAGGTCGTTCAACCATTGCTACTGTGTCTTTTCTTCTGGCAGATCAAGATAACCAAGTGACAGCAAAAACTGCAAAAAAATTAGCAGGAGCAATTAGAATAAGATTTATTAGTTGATTAACTTTCTAACATTGCTCAGTTTTTAAAAATTGAAATCAAAAGAAAGCCTATTGGCTCACATGTTTTATCTGTGGCTAAAGGATCATGCATCAATTCTGTCATTTGTATTGATGTAAACCTCCAGAACGTATTTTGTATAGCTAACTATTTAGCTCTACCCCCAGTATCTTTTATCTTATTGCTATGGCTAGTGGCTAATGCAAATAAAGTTTCTATCGATCTATCCTGGCCAGTAGCCCTCAATAGTCTCCTCCTCCTTCAGGAATTTATCTAATCCTCTTTTCAAGCCGTCCAGGTTGGGGGCCATCTCTGCCTCCTTTCTTTCATCCGTCCTGAAACTACTAACACTCTGCTACGTTGGCTGCCAAGGAATTTGATTTTGGTATGAAAATCTGTTCCTAGATGTTTGGGCTCTACGTATCTCCTTTTAGTCTCCTTTTATTTCACTTTATTTGGCATCTGTTATTATGTTTTGTTGTGCTATATTAGGTAGAGAGAGAGACAGACAGACAGACAGAAAAAACCCCAGTGGAAATGGAATGAATGGCACCCTCCAGTGAGGCTGTAGCCACATCAGAGCCTCTGTTATTATTATCCTTGGAGACTGAAAAGTTACCTGGACTCTCCAAGGTGAAGACCTTGGGCCTGCCTCCACTGCTCTGACAACCGTAACCAGTTCCCAAGGAAACAGGATGTCCTACGTCATATGTTCTAATTTCATTTAACTTCAAGCTCCAATTCTATAAACTCCGCTGCTGGCAATGAACAGGGAAAGTGTGTCTGAGAGATCACAAGTAATGAGGGAGCTTTGAATCCCGTCTTTCAGTGCCCCAAAGAGGCCCTGCCAGAATGACAGGAGGAGCATTTGCTAAAGATCCTTTATCAGGGTGTTACTCTATTTGACGTGAAGCAAAAAAGGATTCTGTTGCTGATGAACAGTACTCTATTATTACAGGAGAGAACAAAGTTACTCCCCCCCCCCCGCCCCCCATGAAACCATTATGTCTAGCAATATTTACTGAATAAGCCTAGCAGGGGGTTAAAAGGAGCTGTACACAAAAGGCATAGAATCATAGAATTGTAGAGTTGGAAGGGAAACTGAGGGGCATCTAGTCTCTGCAATGCAGGCATCTCAACAAAAGAAACCATGACAGATGACAATCCAGCCTCTGCTTAAACACCTTCAAAGAAGAAGGACAGTCCACAACCTCCCAAGGGAGTCCATTCTTCTGTCAAGCAGCTCTCACTGGTAGAAAGTTCTTCCTGATGTTTAGTCAGAATCTCCTTTCTTGGAATTTGAATCTGTTGGTCTCCAGAGCAGGCCAAAACAAGTTTGCGCCATCCTCTATGTGACAGCCCTTTAGTTACTTGAAATTGGCTGTCATATCTCCTCTCTGTCTCCTCTTTTCCAGGCTAAACATACCTAACTCCCTCAACAGTTCCTTATAAGACTTGGTTTCCAGACCCTTGATCATCTTGGTTGTCCTCCTCTGCACACATTCCAGCTTGTCAAGATCCTTCTTTAATTGTGGTGTCCAGAACTGGACACAGTATTCCAGGTGTGACCAAGGCAGAAGAGAGTGGCACTATTACTTCCCTTGATCTGCACACTAGACTTCTGTTGATGCAGCCTAGAATAGCATTAGCCTTTTTGCTGCTGCATCACACGGTTGATTCATGTTAAGCTTGTAGGCCACCAAGACCCCTAGATCCTTTTCACGTGTACTGCTAGTAAGCCAGGTCATCCCACTTCTTGTATTTGTGAAGCTGGTTCCTCCTGCCTAAGTGTAGAACCTTACATATGTCCCTATTGGAATTCATTTTGTTAGCTTACACCCCGTTCTCCAATCTGTTACGGTCATTTTGAATTCTGATTCTGTTTTCTGTAGCGACTCCTCCCAGTTTGGTGTCATCTGTAAATCTGATGAGCATCCCCTCAACTCCTTCATACAAGTCATTTATAAAGACGTTGAACATCAATGGGCCCAGGACAGAACCCTGTGGCACCCCTCAGCTGTTCTCTAAGAATTCTCAAAGATTATAGACAGAGGCTCTGAGATTACATCCGCAAACTCCTTTAGAACCCTTGGGGGTGCAACTCATCGGGCCCTGGAGATTTGATTTCATTTAAAGTAGCTAGGTGTTCCCTGACCACCTCTTTTCCAATACCTGCCCTTCATTCTAAATTAAAACACAATGTTTAAAACATGCCAGACGCATCTCTGTGGTGAGGGAGGTCTACAGCTTAGGAGGTCACCATGGAGAAGGCCCTCTCCCCCTGGGCCACGACCACCCCTAGCCTCTGAGGGTGGAGGAACTACCCAGAGTGCCCCCTTTCCTGATCAGGGTCTGTAGGGAAGTAGGCAGTCTTTCAGTTATTTTTGGCCTGAGTCTTAATCCAACACTCTAAGGACTACACCACACTGCCTCTTGCACTGGGTGACAATTCTCATCAACCCCAGCTAGGATGGCCATATGATGCTGGGGATGATGGGAGTTACAGTCCACCTATCCAGAGGGCAAAATGTTGGGAGACACCTGAGCTGTTGCCCTACATCTGCTGGTGCACTTAAATCACAGCAGTGGGAAGAAAAGCTTAGCAAATATTTCTGTTATGTACTAAGCTTGGATCCTAGAACAATAGGCAAGTAGGATCCTAGAATGCAACAACTGATTGGCTTGCAGGAAAAGACCAATCAGGCTCCAGGAGGAAGTTAATCAGCCTATTAGGCTGGTAGGATCGTAGAATGCAACAACTGATTGGCTTGCAGGAAAAGACCAATCAGGCTCCAGGAGGGAAGCTGAATCAGCCAATCAGACGGGACTCATTGTGTAAATAATGTATATAAAAGCCTGAGGTTTGGGGGGCAATTCAATCACTGTTTTACAAGCTGCAATAAAAAGCATGAAATCAGTATAGGACTCGATGAGTATATTTCAATTTCAGTTTATGCACAAACATAATCCAACCCCCTGATAATCCATAATCAATGTTTGAAAGGTCCCTACAAATATCGACAGAAGTTAAAATACATGCAAACAAACAAGATTTAGCATTTGGGTGTGGGAGGGTCAAAGTGAATTCTTCTCACCAAGTGGCCTCTTTTCAAGCTAAGAGCATTTCAACAGGGCTCTAAACTGCTTGTGTCTTTTTATGCTCCTTATGACTCCAAAGGGGGGGGGGGGTGTCCATTCAGCCATGGATTATGCTAGATGGCTTTGTTGCAGAAAATGGTGCGTGATCAGGAGTGGCCTATGAAGCTCAAAAACTGAGCTAATCCAGCCTTCAAATGGGGAAATTACAGAGAAAACACACACAAAATTGGTGGAGGTGTAAGAATTCTAAGGTCTCATGTAAAGAATAAGTATTCATAAATGCACACATATATAAGTATATATAAGTATCTGAAGAAGTGTGCATGCACACCAAAGCTCATACCAATGAGAAACTTAGTTGGTTTCTAGGTGCTACTGGAAGGAATTTTTTTATTTTGTTTCGACTACGGCAGACCAACACGGTTACCTACCTGTATACAAACCATGTATCTGAAATAGTACAGGAGAGCAATCCTGAAGCCATTTTGACTCTCCCAATGACGTCAAATATTCCTCTTACATTACACCACCAGCAGGCTAAACAACTTACACACTGTTCAATTCCCTAATTACTGTGCATTTAATAAACACCATTTGTTTAGTCATGTCCATGTGGGCGAAAAAGTCAGCCACTGACGGGGTGCCAACTGGAATAAAATATTGGGGGCAGGGGCAAGTTGTCATGAATCTGCCCCATATCGATCCAGAGCAGACCTCAACGTATAGTTAGCAGAGTAAAAACTTAAAACACCTTGCAGAGTTCCCCAAAAATAAACCAGAGGCAATTAACTTCACCCAGTAGAGTTTTCACTACTGAAGGCAAATGAGCTTAGCGGTCACAAATTCAATTCTTCAGGATCGGCACAATCCATAGGAAATCCAGTTGTAGTAAAAAACTTCAACTTAGATTAAACTTACAATAAGACTAAAACCTTAACACTCAGCATGCTGTGTACAAAACACCACACCAGAAGGAAAGAGAGACATAAAAGTGAAACCCATGCTCCTTCTGGCCTATTATGATAGGGCACAATGACCTTGAGAGAAAGAAATAACAGAACCAGTTTGAACCAGCTGTTCAGCTTCTCTGAAGGAATAAGCCAAACATCAGGAACATTCTGTTTGTTTCTAGGCACAACAGAAAACTCACTTGTTAGATAGAAACTTCCAGCTTGTATCACACAGGGCTCCCAGTTACTGCCACTGTAGTTAACAGCACTCAATATTCCCACATTGCAATATTTGCATGAATAAACAACAAAGTGTCTGTGAGAGTTTAACAACCGTTCTTGTTATGGCATGAACTTTTGCGCGCGCGCGCACACACACAATACATATAATAGAAATGAGTTTTAAGTAACTGATTTTACAACAATTATAAACCATCATCTTATTGGTATTCTTTTTAGTCTAACTGGAGTCCTGTACTATCCTGATATTATTTGAAGTTAAGCTCTTGTGTTTCTGAGGTTTATGACTTTAAGATCTGTAACTGAATGCCCAAGAATTTGAGTTTCCTATGGCTGCATTCACACATGGGTTTTATTCCATTATTTTCACTGATGATAAAGTTAGCACTTTTGTTGTATTTTCTAATAATTTTTTCTTGCACTTTCAAATTGAATTCATTATCCCACATGAACACACATTTCAAGAAATAATTTAAGAGAAGATGATGGGAGTTTGCATGGATGCCTAAAAAACAATAGCTCTGGAGGCAACCACACAACGTTGGTTTTGAAGAGACCAGAAAGGCCACATGCTGAGTAAGTCACAGTTTTCAGGATGCTGCAAAACCATTGCAGAATTTTAGCACTGGTCTGAAGTGAATCAGACAGTTGGGTTTTTGAGTATATCCCCTGGTTTGAGTATCAATTACAGTGGTACCTTGGTTTACGAACTTAATCTGTTCCGGAAGTGTGTTCTTAAACCAAAGCGTTCTTAAACCAAGGCATGCTTTCCCATAGCAGCAGGGGACTCAATTTACAAATGTAACACACTCGACAGGAAGCGGAACATGTTCTGCTTCCAAGGCAAAGTTCACAAACCAAAACACCTACTTCCGGGTTTGCAGCGTTCTTAATGCAAGTTGTCCATAAACTACCGGTAAGCTGTTCTTAAACCAAGCTGCCATTGTACTCCATTTGTTGGGGTGCTGTAAAATGCTGGGTTCACCCTGCAAAACAATTGCAAAACTTTGGTACTGGTTTGGAGGGGATCCCAGATTTCAGGGTTTGTAGTTAATGAAGCTAAAGTCAATCTTACAACATGGCATTGTGAGTAACAGTGGATCATTATCTGCACTTGGTCATTTTCATGGCACCTTTGACAGGAGCCTGGTGTTTAAGAAGCCTGCAAACTCACCTCCCCAACCTCTCTCTAGCCTGTCAAGGATTGTGAGATTTATGGGTGCAGAACTTTCTCAATATTTCTCAAATGTTCCTGAATGTTCTGAAAACAACTCGCAGCTGTCGTGTATCAAGTTAGTCATGTGAGACTCAAGGTCACTACCCAGTGGAAGATAATGTATCTTCCTGCCTGCTGGGCAGTTTATCAGTCAGTCTTTTCTTTCTTTCTGTTTTTCTGTCTGGTTTTTGCTTCTGTAACTGCACATGCTCCTAGGAGTAGATGATTTTGTACCTTACTAGGGATCCAGTAAGTCCTGTATGCTTTTGAACCTCAGTAAACTATTACTGAAGAATTCTGTTACCTGTGTGTGTTTTACTCTTCTCCTACTCTGCCTTTTCCCTTTCATTGGAGTTGAGGCATGGAAACTGGAGGGGCGTTTGATTTTGCACCAGCCCTGTCAAAGCTCACACAACTCACAGAGCAACTTGTCTAGACAACCAAGAGAAGTCTAGACAACTTGTCTAGACAACCAAGACTTCCGGGGTGGCGCCACCGGCAATGGCGGACTCCCTCTGAACTGGGGGACTAGCTCCGCGGAAAACGGGTCTTCTCCGCTATGGCGAAGCGGGGACCCTCTTAAAAATCACAGGCGGATGAAGCCTGTGACCATGGGACTCGGCAGGCACCTTTAGCGCCCCCCAACCCGCTAAGGAACCCACTAACGGGCTCCGAAGTGAAGAGGGGGAAGTGGCGCGGTGCTGTGAGTCAACTGCTATTTCTGTGGAGTGAAGCCGCATAGACGTTGCCGGAGAGCGCTGCCTTTTTCCTGGGACAATTTGGACTTTAAAATAAGCACCCGTGAGTACTTAGACTTTGAACAATTGGACATCAAATAAGGACTTGCGAGCAGGAAAGAATTGGACTTTAAAAATTTACTTTAATTTGGTACGGAACGGGAAGGTCTAAACAGGAAGTCAGCCTTCTGTTCTTTTGTAAACAGAATAAAGCAAAGACAATTGAAACTAGAGCTCAGAAAATCGTTTTTAAAAGATTGGATTTCACCATTTAAAATTGTGGAACCCCCCTTCGACAGCAGGAGAAGGGGGGGATCTTTTTGGACTGTTTAAAGTGACTTTAAAGTGAAGTAACTTTCCTCCGTCCTGATCCTGGAGCGGGGTGTCAGGACTGACGTTTGAAGTTCATTGACCAAAGACAAGTGTCGTTGACAGATAGCTAAAAGAAGAGAAACCTAGTGATTCCACTGTTCTCTTTCACATTTTAAAGGAATATACAGTGGTGCCTCGCAAGACGAAAAGAATCCGTTCTGTGAGTCTCTTCGTCTAGCGGTTTTTTCGTCTTGCGAAGCAAGCCCATTGACGGATTAGCGGATTAGCGCTATTAGCGCTATTAGCGGCTTTTAGCGGCTTAGCGGCTTAGAAAAAGGGGGGGGGAGGAAAAAAACCCCGCAGGAACTCGCAAGACATTTTCGTCTTGCGAAGCAAGCCCATAGGAGATTCGTTTTGCGAAGCACCTCCAAAACGGAAAACCCTTTCGTCTAGCGAGTTTTCCGTCTTGTGAGGCATTCGTCTTGCGGGGCACCACTGTATACGGACAAAGTATCTTAAAAAAGGAAACTTTGTTGCAAGAACAAATAGAAGTCTTCCCCCTAGGGGGAGTCTGTGAAACTGTAACTGTGAAACTGTAACTAACTCCAGGGAGCCGGCAGCGGTTACAGATTACAACCGTGGGAACAGGCATCTGACCTTGCAGGACAATGTATTCAGAAACCTTGTTGTGTGCTCTCTATAAAACAAATGCCCTACTGGAACAATTACACGAGAAGGTGAATTGGATGGCGACTTCGACTAGAAATTTTGAACAGGCAGTGGGAAATTTTGAACAGACAGTGGGAAAATATGTGGAGCCCACTCAGGAATTAAATCAGGAGAGTGTCTTGACAGAACAGGAGTTTTGACATTAAATCAGGAGTGTGTTTTGACAGAACAGGCCCAACAGGAATATGATTTTTCGGTTTGACAAATGAACTTGGAAAAAGCCAGATTTGGAAAGGAAAAGTTTGGCTTGGTTTGGAAATGGGGGGCTGGATTGACCCCCCTATGTTGGGACGTTTGGACTTTTCAAATATGGCAACGGGCCGTGAGATGTTTGGGACTGTGGGGGCTCTCAACTTTGGAGGGTCTTTGAAACATGCTTTTAAATACTGTGGAGTTTGGAGTTTACAGGGTTAAAACTCCTTGGTGTCCTGTATCTGGGGAGTGGCCTGACGCAGGGCCGTACGTCACAGGCTTTGTCTGTGTTGTCTGTGAGAGTTGGTTTCACTTTTGACTGAAAGAAGCAGCAGAGAGACTGTGTGTGCTTTTAGCACGGGAAAGATGCCGGAAAGCTCCGATGGAATGAGACTGATTTATGGCTTGTAAATAAACGTTTTAGAGATAGCAACAAACTGTCTCTGGACTTGATTTATCCCTCTATCTCACACGGACTGCAGGACCGCTGCAACTCTGCTTTTTCCTGCCCAGGTCAGCCCCAGCAGAGCTACACAGGGAAGCGCTGACTGGACGGCAGGATCTAATGGCCAAAGGTTATGGCTCTTCCGTGTTTCCTGCCAAGTGTGAGGAGGGAAGAAGACTGCCAGCTTTGAGCTGCTTTGAGCTCCTGCCAGGAAGGGCAGTGGGAGACGCTGGTGGAGAGTGGAGCGAAGAGGAGGCTGCTGCTTCGGAGGACCAGCTAGCTGGCAACGCGTGAGTACGCTTAAGTCCTGGGGGGGAGGAAGATGGCTGCTGCTCAGCCACAGCAAGGCCATGAGAGCTACCCCAGCGAAAGACTGAATGGGGCCAATTGGGAAGCCTGGTCTAAGCGCATGTACTACTGGCTGGAAGAAAGGCAGCTATGGGAATGTACACAAGCCGAACCAGTTCTTGCCCAGCCCAGTGCTGCAGCTGCAGAGGCTGAGAAGTCTGCAGGAGCAGTGGAAGCTTGTGAAGCAGACGTGGCTGCTGCTCTGGAAAGAGAGCAAAGGGTGCTAGCCATTTTAAGGGCCAGCGTTGATGCTTGGCTGTTGCCAAACCTTCAAGGGAAGAAGCCCTGGGTCGCGTGGCAGGCACTGAAGACGGCATGTCAGGCCGCAGTGGGAGCCAGACCAGAGGGGGCTAAGAGATGCCCAGAGAGAGCACTAAGCCCAGAGGGGGCTGGGACTGTTTTGGGAGGCTGTTTCTATGCTTTGACACGTCTGTGTGATGGTCCGGGAGAGAGGCTGAGAGCTGGGAAGAGGAAGGCAGTTGCAGTCTGTTCCTCAGGCAGCTGGGCACCCAGGAGTGGGGGTGCAGGCTGTTCCAAGAGCTCTGTGAAAGCCAAAGTCTCCAAGAGTTGTTTGTGCTCTGAGGCGAAGTCCAACAGCGAAGGGCATTGTTCTGCAGAGGCGTTGGAATGCAAGGTCAGCCACCTGCTAAGGCAGATAAGCAACAGTTCTCAGACAGCGAAGCGTGAGAACACCGGCAGAAGCCTTGCAGTAACCATGGCAACCAGGAAGGACACTGGCAGAGGCCCCAGTGGGGGTGCGAACGTCGCCATGGCAACCTTGGAAGACAGCCAGAGAGCCACTTTATCCCTTGTTGTCGATACAGGAGCCACCCACAGCCTAGTGCCATCTGGTGGGCTCCTGAGAAATTGCAAGACAGTTAAATCTGGACGTTTTGTCACGATGGCAGATGGGTCTACGAGACAGTTAACTGAAACTGGTTTTTTGTACTGTCCCTTTATAGATCATGAGGTGCAAGCTTATGTGGTCCCCGAGCTTGCACATTCTCTTTTAAGTGTATCAGCTCTTATTGCTGATGGGTTTGATGTGGTGTTTACTAACAATACGTGTTATTTTTACAGGGATGGGAAGAAGCTCCACAGTGTTGAGGGGAAGGACAGGCTCTTTCTGGTGCAGATGCCTGTCACTGATGCTACTGTTGCAGAGTCCCCTGAAGAAGCACAAGTGCAGTGTGCAAATGTACCACCACACCATGATTGTTTACACCTCTGGCACAGACGCTTTGGGCATGCAGGGTGGTCATATGTTACGAAAGCCGCAGAGAACACAATTGGGTGTGGGTTCAAGGCATGTGATAAATACTTAGATTGTCAAGCTTGTAAAAAATCGAAGGTCACGACATGCACATATCCCAGGTCAGAAAGGAGGACCAGCAAACCCTTTGAGCTGATCTAATAGCCAAACATGGAATTTAGTGTTGAACATGGAAAAGGGGCTGATTTGTCGAGAAGGGCTAAATACATTGTCAAGCTGGAGTTACCACGAGCAGGAGACAAGGGAAAATACAGTTACAAATATGAAGAAGAGCCGCGGAATGGAAATGGAAGAGACTTGAGGGCCTCGGATATAAGGTTGCCAGGTTAATGGGCTAGATTAACGGGAATAAGGACTGACAAAACCCGGAACCAGGAGGAAGGGACGCTGGATGAAGAGTGGATCTGTTTGTACCTCTTTTTTCTACCATTAGAACTGCTTTATAAAAGTGATGAATGATAGAAAAATGTTGGAATGAAATTACTTGGCTTTAGCAAAGATGTTTAAAGAATTATGAAAGAATATTATGGTTATGAGAAGTTGGTAAGGATAAGACTTAAGTTTTAAGTTTTAAGGTTTATTTTATTATAGAAAGATAAGATCAAAATAGTTTAGGGTAATGCAAGGACAGAATTTTATGAAACATGGAAAGGATTTGCTGGGATAATTAATAACTAGGATACAAAGAAAGGGAGGAGGAGGAGGTCTAAGAAAGAAGGCAATGACAGTTAAGGATTTGAAAATAATGAATTTGTTTTTAAATGTTTTTAAAGGTTTGTGATTTTTGTATTTTTCTTTTTTTTCTGTCATTTTTTCTTATTTTGAATTTTCTCTCATATGGTGGGAAGGGGTTTGTTGTTTTTTTTCTTTTCTTTTCTTTTCCTACTTTGTCAACTATTTTTATTTTTTGTACTTTCTTCGGCTTCTTTTTTATTTTTTTTATTTTTTGTAACAATTTGAAAATTTCAATGAATATCTTAAAAAAAAAAAAAGAGAAGCCTTGACCCCGATAGACTTCCGGCGGATCGCGAAGTGAAAGCAAGTGGGATCTCTTGCTTGCGAGAGTATCCAGCTATCGGGAGAGAAAAGGGGGGCTTGCAAGGGCGCCGCAGCCCCCCAAACACTCTTGGAAGGGAATCCAAGAGGCAGGGGTCCCGGCACTGCCATTTAAATTCTCCCCTGGCCACCAAGTAGCCCCCTTTTTGGAGGCGACGAGTGTGGCGGGGTTGAGACATCGGCAGCGGGAAGCCATTTCTATCTCTCTATAGCGAAACCCCTAGCTTGCGCACAAAGCGATCTGTTTTCAAACAAAAAGAAAACGAATTGGAACTTAAAAAGTTAAATTTAAAAGTTGGACTGGAACTAATTCGTGGCGGTAAGGTGGAAAAAAAGGAGGTCAGCCTTGCCGGGAATTTTATTTAGACGCAAGAGGAATTCGCGGAGCGGAAAAAACTGTAAGTTACGAAGAGCGGAAAGTTTTACCGATATACTAGATGGTTTTTATTTGAAAGGCTTCTCACAAGGACTAGAACTAAGTTACAACTAAGAGGGAAAAGGATTTGTTGAGAAGCATATAAAAACAGTCTGTCGGAGAATCGGCTGTGAGTGTTGGGGAGACAATGGGAGACAGCGAGTTGGATTACTTTCACTTTTAAAGAAACTGCGCAATTAAAGTTACGGTCTCTAAGGCATGGATTTGGAAATTTAAAAGAGCATTTTGGCTCAAGTAATAAGAAAGGAAATTTAAGACTGAGGACACCAAACTTTTTGCTTTTGTTTGCTGGGATCTTCAAGGACTTTGTGATTATAAAATCCTTTTCTTTTTTATGTGGAATATAACCCCCCCCCCCCCCCACTCTTTGGAGCTACAAGTTAGAGCTACAAAGTGCCATTTTGTTGCCAGTGAAGGAGCTTCTTGTAGCCATTTTGTTGTCACTGAAGGAACTTTCTCTTCCCCTGTGGATACAATTGCTGAGGTTCCAGTTTTTGAAGATATATTTGGATACGATAGCTTGGAAGAAAGGGGTTCCTTTTTATATGGTTTTTCCTTTTTATTTTTTCCCCTCCTATTTCTTGAAACCACCGGTTTGAACTTACAGCTCGCACTTTGGGTTTTTCCTTCATTCTATATTTGTATCATTGGATTGAAAATAATGCGATCTCTGCAGGAGGCTGCTTAAAGGGATTTAAGAAAGGGAACGTTCTTTGTTTTATCTTATTTTGAAATTCGCAACCAATTCCAGGGATATAGCCAACCAAGTGGCAGGAAGGCAAGAAGATTGTTTAGATACACTTATTGAATTTAAGGGTTTTGACTCATCTGCTGCACCTAAAGGAGTATATTTGGAAATTTGAAAGGAGTATATTTCACAACTTTTATGAACTTTCTATTCTGGTTTAAATTGAGGTTTTGATTAATGAATTAGAAATTGATAAGAGTGATATTGAAGATTGTTTTTAAAATTGAAATTAAGATTTTTGGTTATTTTGTTTAAGATAAAAAAGGGGAGGAGAGAAGTTAAAAATGTCGTACACGCAGAAAAAAAGTGAAGGTGCAACACCAGGAGAAAGAAAGAAGATTTCAAGACAAGAACCAGAGTGGAAAGCAGATATTGTAAGGATGTTTACAGAATTGAAGACAGATATAAAAAGCAGTGAGAAAAATATTGAGAGTAAATTAGGTCAGATGGAAACAAAATTAGAGCAAATGGACAATAAAATAGATTTAACAGTAAATGAACTAAAAGATCAAATGAAAGAAATTGCTAAAAAGAACACGGAGATTGTTAAAAGAATTTAGAAGAAGGAATGAAAAGGACAAAATTAGAAATGAGAGAGGTTCGAAAGGAAGAGGAAAAAATTAGGGCGGAAATGTCAGAAGTGAACAGGACACAAGATGAGCTGTGGGATGCGGTTGCGATGAATGAACTTCGGCAACGGGAAACTAATTTAAGGCTGAGGTCTGTGCCGGAAACCCAGGGAGAAAGAATTAAAGAGAAGCTGACGGCAGAAATTGCCCAATGGTTGGATATGGAAACAGAAGAAGTGGAGAAAACAATACAAAATGCATTTCGGATTAAAACAAGATCGACTAGAGCTAAGAAATTTCCTGGAGACTGTTTAATTATCTTCAAAGATAGAGAAATGAGAAATTTGATTCTGCACAAAAACAGGGAGAAACGTCTAAATATTGATGGAAATTATATAATTATTTTTAAAGACGTGCCATTGAGGCTTTTGAAAAAAAGGGACCAATATAGACAATTGGTACAAACTTTGAAGAAACATGAAATTGAATTCAAATGGGAATTTCCAGAAGGAGTAGCATTTACATACAAAGGGAAGAGGCACAGACTGACAAAATTGGATGAGGTGGATAACTTTTTTAGAAGATACAAAGAACTGACCAGAGAAGGAGAAGAAGCAGAGGTGGCAGGAGCAGGGGGGGATGAAGGAGACTCTGTAGAGTTGGAAGAGGAAGAAGAGCGAAGCAGAAAGGATAAAAGAAGAGGAAGAGGAGGAAAAAGGGAAGAGGAAGAGGAAAGTTGATGTATTATAGTATTTTAATATTCTTTTGGAAGCCGCCCAGAGTGGCCGGGGAAGCCCAGCCAGATGGGCGGGGTATAAATAATAAATTATTATTATTATTATTATAAAGTGAAGAAGAACAAGAAGAGGAAGAGAAATAAAAATATAAGAGGAAAAAATATTTAATTGGCAGACACTATGGCACTAAAATTATGGACATGGAATGTGAACGGAATCAACGATAAAAAAAAAGGAATAGTGGGACAATATTTAAAACAAAAGAATTTGGATATCATCTGTTTACAAGAGACTCATGTAAAAAAACGCACAGGAAAATTTTAATTAACAAAAAATTAGGAAATGAATTTATTTCATCAGATAAAAGCAAAAAGAGAGGGGTGGTACTGTATATAAAAAACAAATTAGAGGCACAACAATTATTTAAGGATGAAGAAGGTAGGATCATAGCAGTCCAAGTCAATTGGAAAGGTGAAAAACTGATAATTATTGGAGTATATGCACCGAATGGTAGTAAAGCAGAATTTTTTAAAGGTTTGGAGGAAAAATTATTTGAATATGTGGATCAAAAAGTAATAATAATGGGTGACATGAATGGGGTGGTATCAATGGAAATGGATAGACTCCGGGCTAAAAGCAAAACGAAAGAAGGGAAATTACCAAAAACTTTTTTTGATATGGTGGAAAACTGTAACTTGGTGGATATATGGAGATTGAGACACCCATTAGAAAAACAATTCACTTTTCATTCAGAGGTTAATCAATCAATGTCAAGAATTGATCAAATATGGGTTTCCAGTGAAATAACCACAAGAATAATAAAGATTGAGATTCAACCTAAAGTCTTATCAGATCATAATGCGGTCAAAGCTATTTTAAAAGGTAAGGAAGAAAAATCCTTTCGGTGGAGATTAAATGAAAGTCTTCTAGATGATCAGAAGATAGTGGATGGAGCTCAGAAATGTTTAAGGGACTATTTTGTGAACAATGTCAACAAAGGAACAAAGATGAGCACGGTTTGGGATGCAAGTAAAGCCGTTATGAGAGGATTCTTTATTCAACAAAATGCAATTAAAAATAGAATGAGAGAAAAAGGGAAAAAAGAAATTTTAAGACAAATAATGGAGAATGAAAAAAAATTAACTATAAGACCTAAGAATGAGAAGGTCAAGCAAAGTATAAAAATGCTCCAGACACAATTTGCGGTGATAATCAACAAAGAAGTAGAATGGAATATAAGGATGAAACAAAATAATTTCGAATATGCAAATAAATCAGGGAAATGGTTATCGTGGCAAATTAAAAAAAGGAAAGAACAGAATACAATCAACAAAATTAAAATAGAAGATCAAGAGACTGAGAATCCGAAAGGAATAAGGAAAGGTTTTGTGGACTTTTATCGAGATTTATACAAAAGAAAAGAGAAACTCAATATAAAGACAATGGAGGAGTATTTAATGAAGAAAAAGGTGCAAAAAATTTCAAAGACCAATAAAATTAAACTGAATGAACCAATAGAATTAGAAGAGATTCAAATGGCAATAAAGGATTTGAAGAGTGGGAAGTCGCCGGGACCGGATGGATTCAGTGCAAGATATTACAAAGAAATGAAACACACTCTACTTGTACCATTGAAAGAAGTAATGAATAACATTTTGAAAGAAGGAGAAATACCTGAGACCTGGAAAGAAGCATACATAACATTTATTCCCAAACAAGACTCTGATTTAACACAGGTTAAAAATTATAGGCCAATTTCATTATTGAATAATGACTATAAAATGTTTGCAAATATTTTAGCAAATAGGATGAAAAAGGTGTTAAAGGAAATGATTCATAAGGATCAAACAGGTTTCCTTCCTGGTAGGCAGATGAAAGATAACATAAGAAATGTAATCAATATAATAGAGTATCTGTCAAACAGGAAGGATAAACAAGCGATGTTGATATCTGTGGATGCTGAGAAGGCCTTTGATAACATTTCTTGGGAATTTATGTTAAAGAATTTGGAATATATGGATATGGGTCAATCTTTTTTGAGTGGTAGAGCGAAACTAATTGTTAACAATGTTTTAACAGAAAATATTGCCATAACCAAGGGTACAAGACAAGGGTGTCCTTTATCGCCGTTATTATTCATCTCGGTCCTAGAAGTCTTCCTAAGAACACTAAGAAATAATGAAAAAATAAAAGGTGTGACAGTTGGTTGTAGCAGATATAAGGTTAAAGCCTTTGCCGATGACTTGGTTATAACTATAGAAGATCCTATGCAGAGTGTTAAAGAGGTGTTAGAAGAGATAGAACATTTTGGTCAGGTGTCCGGCTTTAAGTTAAATAGGCAAAAAACTAAAATAATTGCTAAGAATATGGATCAAGAGATAATAGAAAGAATACAGCAACAAACAGAGATGAATGTGGTCAAGAAAGTGAAATATTTAGGGATTACGTTAACTCCCAGGAGTACTGATCTGTTTCAAAACAACTATGTACCAATATGGAATAAAATTAAACGTGATTTAGAGGTGTGGGGAAGAATGAAATTATCATTATGGGGAAGAATTGCAACGATAAAGATGAGCGTGTTACCGAAAATGTTGTTTTTGTTTCAAACAATTCCAATAATTAAAGGTGTGACAATATTTAAAGAATGGCAAAGAATAATGTCAAGATATATCTGGCAGGGCAAGAAGCCGAGAATAAAATTTAAAATATTAACAGATGCAAAAGATAGAGGAGGCTTTGCCCTGCCAGATTTAAAGTTATATTATGAAGCCTCATGTCTTTGCTGGGTGAAAGAATGGATAAAGTTAGAAAACACAGAATTGTTGGACTTAGAAGGTTATGATAATAGATTTGGTTGGCACGCGTATTTATGGTGTGAAAAGAATAGAGTGCATAAAGGTTTTGAAAACCACATCTTTAGAGGATCATTGATGGAAGTTTGGAATAGGTATAAAAATTTACTAGAGTTTAAAACTCCATACTGGTTATCACCATTGGAGATAATGAGTGTGAAAAAGATCAATATGACAGGGAGATGGATTACTTACGAGAATTTGATAATTAAAGAAGGTAATAAATTGAAATTGAGGCCATATGAAGAAGTTAAAGAAAACGTAAATGATTGGTTGCACTACTTTCAGTTAAATGCAATGTTCAAAAAAAGAGTTGTCAGAAAGAGGTTTTCAGGAAAAGAAATCTAGGTTTCATCAAGAAATTTTGGACAGTGATGTTAAAATTTTATCAAAAATGTACAAGTTATTACCTGAGTGGCATACAAAGGACGAGGAAGTTAAATCAGTTATGATTCAGTGGGCTAAAGATTTTGGTTATAATATACAATTTGATGAGTGGACAAAATTGTGGAAAGAAGGAATGAAATTCACTGCATGCACTACAATAAAAGAAAATGTTATGAAAATGATGTATAGATGGTATGTAACACCAGTGAAACTTGGTAAGATGTATAAAGTCAGTAATAAATGTTGGAAATGTCAGGAAAAAGAAGGAACATTCTATCACATGTGGTGGGAGTGTAAGAAAGTGAAAAGCTTCTGGGAAATGATTTATAATGAGATGAAGAAAATGTTGAAATATACTTTTGTGAAGAAACCAGAAGCATTTTTACTAGGAATATTAGGGAATGAAATTAAAAAGAAGGATGTGAAACTATTTAGGTATGCAGTGACAGCAGCTAGAATTTTGATGGCCCAGAAATGGAAACAGGAAGAAATGCCGACGAGGGAAGAATGGAGAATGAAATTGATGGAATATGCAGAAATGGACAAATTAACGGGGAAAATTCGGAATCAACGTGATCAGAGATTCACCGAGGACTGGAATAAATTTACAGAGTATACCAAAAATGTATGTGAGAAGCAAATAACGCTTGTTGGTTTTCAAGCTCTGTGAAAATGATGGATAGAAATGTTGCTTAAAAGATATGATAAGATTAAGATTGTTAAAGCGCAATATAAATTTAAGAAATGTGAGTAATTGTGATTATATGGAAAATTGTCAGATAGGCTGAGGGAAGTCTAAAAGATGTATATGTTAGAAGTGGATGTTAAATGTGGATGGAATGTATATTGGAAACTGAATAAAAATTATTATAAAAAAAAAGAGAAGCCTTGACCCCAGCTGCCCCCTCTGTGGTTGCCCTATGGCCAGTAGGGTCAATGGTCACAAAGGATGGGAGTTGTTGCCCAGCAAAGGAAGGCCTTACACAAGCATATCAGTGGTGTAATGCATCAACATCGATTAAACTTTTTAGTTGCTTGTTACCTAAAAGGTACCCAAGCAACTCAAATTTATAAGCCATTTCTTACAGAATCATAAGAGCCTGCTGGATCAGGCCAAAGGCCTCTCTAGTCCAACATCTTGCCATCACAGTGGCCACCCAGATGCCCCAATGGGCAGTGTGCAGGCAGGATTCAAGCACAAGAGCACTTTCCCCTCCAGTAGTTTCCAGCAACTGTCATTGCTTCAGAAGCATTACTGCCTCTGACAATGACAGCACAGCATAGCCTTCATCACTGACTAGTAGTCTTCCTCCTCCATGAATTTGTTCAATTCTCTTTCAAAGCCTCCAAGTTGGTGGCCATCACTGCCTTCTGTGGGAGTGAGTTCCACAATTTAACTGTGCACCTCATGCACAGTGCACCTCATGAAGGACTTTTTTTCTCCCTGTCCTGAATCTCCCAATTCAGCTTTGTTGGATGTTCAGGAGTTCCAGGGTTATGAGAGAGAGGGAGGAAGGGAAACTTCTCTATCCACTTTCTCTATCCAGGGTGGCGTTGTGGCTTTAGGTTTTTAATTGGTTTTAATGTAAGTTGCTTTGAGTTTACCCTGTAAGAAGAGTGATTAACAAATTCAGTAAATGATGATTTACCGGGGGGCAAGAGGATGAGGCAGCCAAGAAGCACTAGTGGGCACTGGGGTGGCACTGACCCAGCCACTTCCTTTGAAAGCTACAGCCAGTTGAAACAAAGAGCAAGAGTCATGTCACCTCTTTGCCTGAAAGGTGGAGGAGGAGGTACTTTTAGGGCTTTACACGAAAGGGGGAGTTGCACAGCTGCACACTTGCCATATGTGTAAAGGCACAGCAACACAACTAGGTTCCTCAGCTCTGAAACACAGAGCACAGAGGTCCCACACCCCCTCAAAGATGGATTCGCATGGGAGAAAGACCTGCACATATAAACACAGGCAACTCCCAATTTACGCTGAAGGAGCATCTCCACCCCCATCATTCAGCCCGGACACAGTGCCGAGGGCCTTCTGGCGGTTCCCTCATTGCGAGAAGTGAGGTTACAAGGAACCAGACAGAGGGCCTTCTCGGTAGTGGCGTCCACCCTGTGGAATACCCTCCCTTCAGATGTGAAGGAAATAAGCAGCTATCCTATCTTTAAAAGACATCTGAAGGCAGCCCTGTTTAGGGAAGTTTTGAATATTTAATGCTGTATTGTTGTTAACACTCAATTGGGAGCCGCCCAGAGTGGATGGGGAAACTCAGCCAGATGGGCGGGGTATAAATAATAAATTATTATTATTATTATATTATATTACATGGGCGTCACATTCCAAGGCACTGTGCACTTAAGTGTACAGTGGTACCTTGGGTTACATATGCTTCAGGTTACATACGCTTCAGGTTACAGACTCCGCTAACCCAGAAATAGTACCTTGGGTTAAGAACTTTGTTTCAGGATGAGAACAGAAATTGTGCTCCGGCAGCACGGCAGCAGCAGGAGGCCCCATTAGCTAAAGTGGTGCTTCAGGTTAAGAACAGTTTCAGTTAAGAACGGACCTCTGGAACGAATTAAGTACTTAACCCGAGCTACCATTGTATATTTAAAACACCATTTAATATAAAAAAATCCTGAAGCGTTTCTGTTAGGGATTATTGGGGCAGAAATCCCCCCCCCCCCAAAAAAAATTAAGTTGTTTATGTATGTGAGGAACTGTCAGCTTCTAACCTGCCTCCTATTATTCTCATTTGTGATTTCCCTATTTGCCTTTGATATATGTTTTCAGAGCAATCTTACAACTTATAAACTTTCTCTGCTGCTCTGCGGTATTTGCTTTGATCCACCCTCATTAGCATGCTCTAGCCAGTAACTGTCCAGTTCTTATCTTACTAGTCTGTTCACTGCGACCTTGAATGTGCTTTTTGTATTCCTATGTGCACAGCACGAGGGATTGGATATGGCAAGAACTTAGAATTCCCTATTACAGCAGTCTTCTATTAGACAGGCTCTCCACCTTTTCAGGTGCCTTTTGAGGTCCCCAGACAAGTCTTTTAAATGATTTTAATTGTCCTTTTAAAATCATTCTCCAGCTCGCGCTGTTTGTATTCATAAAGCACCTTTAAAATTACAGGCTTTTCATCTGTGGTGATGTCGTTCTTTACACACTTCAGCTTAAGAGGAGCATCTGGAATTCGTTTCATAGCACTAATGAGCTGTCTTGTCCTTAACTGGGACTTCAAAGAGAATTTGCTAGTCATTTGAACTGGTGTTCAGCAGAGAGAACGCCTTTTACATGCAAGCACTTTTAGTGTTGGTATTTTTAAGCTGCCTTTCTCATTTCTCTAAACAAACTTCTTTCTATTAAACTTGCTAGGTTTTTATTTAATCCAAATGATTCTGAGCAATGAATATACTTTATTTTATTTTATTTTCTAATGTGCTTGGGAGAAACTCAGCTGGTCAGTCACTTACTTTAAAAGGCTGTTTTCGTCTTCAAGCCTAAGAAATCTTCTTAATTAGCAGAGCTTTGACAAGTCCTGGGTTCTTATCTCTTCTCACTTCCCTACTACATTTGCAGGCGAGATTCTCTTACATGCTTCTCTCACATGCGTTCCCAAGGTAACCTGGCTATATCAGTTTGGAGGTCAAGTTTACCTCTGAGTGAACTCGGCTAGCAGCAGAGAAACAGGTTTTCTTTGCTTTGCATTTTGGGCCTTTGAAACAGGCTCTCTTTGCTTTGCATTTTGGGCCTTTGCAACCAAATACTTGATTGTTTCCTCTCTAAATTGGTGATTAAAATAAATGCCTTTTAATTGACTACTTCATTGGAATGGTGGGAGCCCCCCCTCCCTCTGCTCAAGGCCAGGATCCTGAAACTCCACAGGAGCAGGAGGATAGTATCAACCTAGAGCAATGGTTTGCAGAGGGACACAGTTCAGAGACTGATAGTTGGGCCGAACTGGGAGAACAACAAGGGGAAGAGGAGGAGAGAGAGCTGGTTGACTCCCCCTCACTGGAACGTAGCTGTCAACGTTTCCCTTTTTTAAAGGGAAATTCCCTTATTCTGAATAGGATTCCTCACAAGAAAAGGGAAAAGTTGACAGCTATGCACTAGAAAGCATGCAGCCTATCAGTCCTAGAGCTAGACAATTGGAAAGGGTAGCCTCTCAGAAGGCTCAATGTGTCGGGATCTCTGCTCGGCCAAGCTGATAAAACTCATTTTCCGGCCAAGCCTTTGGAATCGCCCTCCCAACGAATAATTAATGACCTGAGCCTCTGATAAGGCCTCAGGCACATTCCATTCAGCAGAGAATCCAAAATAGCACACGGAACTGATATGATTTATGGCTACATCGCTATGCTTTATTTCTTACTACGCAGACAGCAAAGAAATATACATCCTCTTCTCTATGAAAAGCAGAGAGCAACTGAAACAAAGGAACAAAGGAACAGGAAGCCACTAACGTCACATCCCGTCTCCTCTCCCATGAGACTTCCAACAGCCTGGAATGTCTCTGGAATGTAAACAGAGTCCTGTGACTCTATGCAGCTGCTCAGTGGCAAACAGAAACTAGCACAATGGTGGAGGGATCACGTGGTTAGGAGACGGGAGGACAGAAATAACTAGAGGGAAGTGGGAGGAACTCAATTGGGAGCACCTGCATGGTGAGAATGGACGCTGGATTTTGTGCTGTGTTTAATAAACCTTTCTGTTGCTGTAAAAGACTGCTTTTGCTTTGTGCTGTTATCTACAGAGATGGGGGCGGGATAAGCCTTGCCTCGCAGCCTGACATAAGCCCTGATAAGGACACCTGTTGATGGGGAAATTTTTCATTGCCTAGAAACTTGTTCAAGGCCATTTACAAGTTTCTTCTAGAATATTCCGACAATCACAATCTTCTCAGAACTGTTGGGAAAAGAGGCACCTTTCTCCACCTATGGTGGGGCTGCCCACAGGGTTTTTGTGGGGATTAAATGAAGAGGGGAAGAACCATGTATGAAACCGTGACCTTCCTGGAGCAAAAACGTGGGCTATAAATGCAAATTAATAACAATACATCTTAAGGTCTTAATAAGTAGACAAATTGTTCTCACGCCCACAGTTTCCCCACACACCCCTAGTTAGTTAAAATACTTTTTAACCCTACCACGGCAGCTAACATGAAAATAGAAAACGGTTATCAAACAGCTCAGCAATAAAATCTAGAGGGGGAAAAACAGGACGAATAAGACATTTCAGTGACATTTAGTTCTACTCTGAGTTTCAAGGTTGATCCAAGATGTTGTCCTGGGTTTCCCACATCTTCCCATTTAAACTAATGTGATAATAAATCCAAATTATTTATTGGGTTCCCCGTGTTACTGAACATGGTTACTTGATCCTAGAAGTGGAACAGGGAAGTTCAAAACTCAGCAAGTGTTTCAAGAAGCATAAATAACTGTCCTCCCAGATTGAGTTTTTTACCTCAACGAAGGTAACCTCCAGTTGTAGGCAGGATCCGTTCCAGAGCTCTGGTCAGATCCCGATGTCTCCGCAACCGGAGGGACCACTTCTGCGCACGCGGCAAAACACTTCTGGGTTTGCCGCTTTCGCAACCCGAAATTTACGTTACCCAAGGGTAACGCGAGCGCAGGTGCCACTGGATGATGATGATGTTAATGTTAATGGGGGTGAGGGAAAGGTCTGCAAGGGTCTTTCACTTGTGTTTGCTGAAACGTAAGTGGGAGCCCTGATTGCACAGCGGATCCGACTAGGGTTCAAGCAAATTTGAGCAGGAAACCTTGCAGTGCAGCCTTGCTCAATGCAAGAAGGTCAAGAACTAAGCTGTTGGAGCTGATGCAGGTGGGGATGTCGCTGCTGTGATCCCACCCATGATTTGAATGTTCATGGGTTCAGCTGAAAGTGTGCACCTGCCTCACGGAGTGTGGCAACATGGTATACTGGCACTATGTACCACAATCCTGCTTCATGCATTCCGTGTGTGTGTGTGTGTGTGTGTGTGTGTGAGAGAGAGAGAGAGAGAGAGAGAGAGAAAGAGAACATGTGAACCTAAGAAAAGCCCTGCTGGATCAGGCCAATGGCCCATCCAGTTCAGCATCCTGTGTTCACAGTGGCCAACCAGATGATCCAAAGGGAACCAGCAAGCAGGATTTGAGCACAAAAGCTCTTCTCCATCCACCTTCTCCAGGCCATGGATAATTTCATAAACGTCTATCATACTGTGTCTTATTCATCTTTCCTCTAAACTAAAAAGTCCCAAATGCTGCAGCCTTTCTTCATAGGGGAATTGCTCCATCCCCTTGATAATTTTGGTTGCCCTTTTCTGAACCTTTTCCAGCTCCACAATATCATTTTGGGGGTGAGGTAATCAATTGTTTCTACAAGGGTCTCCTGCAGATGCCACTATATCAGGAAGTCCATTTCATATGTTGTAGGAATCAGGGCTTGAATGTGAAGGCACATACCTTTGGATCTCCCTTCCAGTGGCATAGCGGGGGGGGGGGTGCAGAGAGGCGGTGGCCCTGGGCACAAAATTCTGAGAGGCTGTACCCCACAACAGGCTCCCTTGTGTGGCTGAGCTCCTGCTGCCTTCCGGAACCACAGGGAGGCAAGCTGCACCTGGGCAGGGGCCTTCAGGACAGGAGTGGTGCCTCCTTCTCCTTGTGGCCAGCAAAGGGATGTCTGACCATGCCATGCCCCTGGGCTGGCTGAGCTGGGAGGTGGCAAAACCACCAAGCCAAAAAGGCATGCAGCTGCCACCACCACTAGCAGCAGTGCCGGCAGCCATGTGCCTCGTGGGCTCTGCACATGCCCCCACCCCGGTTGCCCAATCCACCAAGGGAGCGCAACATTTGCCCCACCCTGAGCACCGGCAACCCACATTATGGCATTGCTCCCTCCTGTTACATATCAGGCCTGTGTCATGTTCATTATCCAGTTGTTGCCTGCTGAATCCTTGTTTTCAACAGGCTCTTAAAGTGGATTTTTTAAAAATCCAGTCTGTGTCTGTTTCGGATTCGAAATCGTTTTCATACGTATATTGAAGTGTTTTTTAGATTTTTTTGCTGTTAAATTTCTCTGAGATGTTTCAGAGGAAATGAGTCACAAATGTATTAATGTAATTAATATATTGTGACTAAGGATACTGTGAGCTACGGTAATTATGTCCTGCCTGGAAAAGATGGACTTAGAAAGCTTTTCTGCTTAGTCTGAAGACCACCTCCCTCTAAAATACAAAATCAGCTGATAAACAAGATAAAAGCCCTTGAGGCTGGAGAAGGGGGTGGGGGGAGACACACAAATAACTAAGGACTAAGGTAAAGGACCCCTGGACGGTTAAGTCCAGTCAAAGGTGACTATGGGGTTGTGGCGCTCATCTCGCTTTCAGGCCGAGGGAAACGGCGCTTGTCCACAGACAGCTTTCCGGGTCATGTGGCCAGCAGGACTAAACCACTTCTGGCGCAACGTAACACTGTACAGTGGTACCTCGGGTTACATACGCTTCAGGTTACAGACGCCGCTAACCCAGAAATAGTCTTCAGGTTAAGAACTTTGCTTCAGGATGAGAACAGAAATCATGCTCCGGCAGCATGGCAGCAGCAGGAGGCCCCATTAGCTAAAATGGTGCTTCAGGTTAAGAACAGTTTCAGGTTAAGTACGGACCTCCGGAACGAATTAAGTACTTAACCCGAGGTACCACTGTAACAGAAACCAGAGCGCATGGAAACACCGTTTATCTTCCGGCCCAAGCGGTACCTATTTATCTACTTGAACTGGAGTGCTTTCGAACTGCTAGGGCAGGAGCTGGGACAGAGCAACGGGAGCTCACTCCATCGCAGGGATTCAAACCACCAACCTTCTGATTGACCCTCCTCCATGAAAATAGCTGTTTACTTGGCCGTTTCCCTATGTCGTGAAGGATGAAATTTCAATTCAGTGGAGCAGGGTCAAGATATTAACTGGTATGCATGAAATTTCAGATATAGCTATATAATCCCTAGTGTAGTAAGATAAGACCTTTGGAGCAGGCATTTTTTTAAAAAAAAATTTATGAACCACCCTACTAGATAGGCCATTGGCCTGATCCAGCAGTCAGGCTCTTGTGCTTCTCCCTAAACTATAAAGCCCCAAACACTTTTGCTTTTCCTCCCATAGGAGCTTCTTCAAATGCTTGGGTGGTTTTGGTTGTCATCTTCTGCACACTTTGCAGTTCTGGTTGGGATTCATCTGTCTCAGGAAAAAATGGATGAAAGATGAAGAGAGCAGATTAGAGTTACAGGAGGGGGGAAAGGGGAGCAAGGAGGCAAAAGGGAAAGCAGCAAGCAAGCAGAGGGAGGGAGGGAGACAAATGGACCAACGGAGGAAGAGGGATGGAGATGGAGGAGAGCAGACCCAACCCAATGGCCATGGAGGAAGTCACTAGGGGAGCACAAAAGGCAGTGAAAAGCAAACCTTTTGAGTTTCTGGTCCATGGTCTCTCTGGCCTTCAGAAGCACCAATGCAGCTCCTTACAAAGACTCAAGGGATTGGAGGGGGTGTATGTGCCAATACAGCTCCTTGCCAAGGGCACAAGGGAGTCTAGGTACCCCTATGTTTCCACTGACTTGCAATTACTACTTGTGCTGCCAAGATCATATATGAGACCAGTTCTTTGGACAATATATCTGTTAGTATGTGAGCGCCAACTCTTGGGGTTCCTTTTCTTTGTCTCAGCAGAGTTCCTCAGGCAGCCACACTGACTCACACAGACACTGACGGCCTCACCACACTGCATGCCCTGATAAGGACACCTGTTGCTGGGGAGAATTCTTGTTGCTAAGCAACTGTTCAAGGCTGTGCTTTGAGGCTCGTTACAAGTTCCTTTTGGCAATACAACAGCTACATTTGTATCATCAAAAATATTCAATAACATTACCGTAGTTTTGGACAACAAATAATAGTTTCTTCAGTAATACAGTATTTATCATTTCTGCCAAAATTAAATACCAATAATCTTGCACCAATTTACATTCCTACCAGAAAACCACCAATCCTTTCTGATATCCATGCTTCAGCTGCTGTGTTTAAAGATGCAGGAGGATGAGACTTGCAGAGGGAGGTCCAGCACCCCACTTGTCACTTTCCCCCCAGGATAACAAGGAACCATTAATGAGCACTCTCTTGGTTCGGTCAGTCAGCCAGCTACAAATCCACCTAACAGTTACTTCGTCTAGCCCACATTTTGTTAACAATTTTAACAATTTCTCTGCAAGAATGTCATGGAGGACAAGCTACACTATGTCCACAGCTTTCCTGATACACCAAGCCTGTAACTCTACCAAAAAAAGAAATGTGATTTGTCTGGCATGACTTGTTTTTGAGACTCCCATGGTGGATCTTAGTAATCACAGCATCCTTTTCTAAGCACTCACAGACAAACTGTTTAATGATCTGTTCTAGATGTCAAGCTGATCGGTTGGTACTAGGTACCTGTCAAATGAGCCTCATCAACTCAGAGAATGACCTGCAATGCTCCTGCAAATGATCTCAAGCTGGGGTGTGAGGGTTCAGTTGAACCCTGAGGTACCCTGGGCCTAAGATGCTCAGGTCTTTGTAACTTAATACAAGGACCTTGAGCCTGTATCGGTAGGAGACGGGAAGCCAGTGCAGCTGTTCTAAAAATGGTGTCCCCAGCCAGAAGTTCCCATCAGCAATCTGGCCACAGCATTCTTACCCCAGCTGGAACTTCCAAACCAGGCCCAAGGGCAGCCCCACATAGAGCTCATTGCAGTAATCCAGCTTTAATGTTACCAACACATGGACTACAGTGGCCAGGCTGTCCCTGCTCAGGAACTGGCCAACCAGTCAAATATGTTAAGTGTTAAATCACTTTTGGAATTGCAGCCCCGGGAGAGGAATGGGGGGGGGGGTGTTTCCTAACACCTCTCAGGACCCTTAACAAACTACAATCCCCTGGATGTTTTGGAGTAAGCCATGGCTGGTTACAATGGCATGATGACACTTTAAATATATAGTTTAGTTGGGCCACACACACCCAAACCTTCCTGGCCCTGGAAATAAAGTGAGGTTGGAGAGCTTTCAAACACACCACAATCAAAGAGATTTGCAACCAAGCTAAATAGCCCCAGGGCCTCATAGAATAGCATTATTGAGCTGGAAGGGACCCAAGGGTCATCTAGTCCGATTCCCTGCAATGCAGGAATCATAGCTAACAAATAATAGACCCATCATGGAATTGTAGGGTCTGCTAAGAGACTACAATTAAACACTTTTAAATTACGTTTTGTTTTAATAGGAAATAATTTCAGCACTTTCTTGATTCACCCATTGAAATGAATGGGACTAAAAAATGGTGGAAAGGTGACTCTAGTCTGTTTTTTATGATAAGTAGGGAGGGGACAAGCTGACAGTCTTCTATCAAACTGCTCAGTAAAAAATAAACCTGTTCCCAATTTGCACCATTACAGGAAAAGACACAGGGATCATGAATAGCTTATTGAGCAGCTGTCACATAATTTTTAAAAACCTCATTAATGTTGTTTTAAAAATACAGTAACTTCTTATTGTAGTTGCATTTAGTTATTTTGCTTTATTGGGTAGATCTATGTCACTCACCACCACCAAAGTTCTGACTGCAGGCCTTATGACTGGGGTGGAGAGAGAGAGGAGACATCACCATCTGTCCAATGGAGCTGCAGTCCAGTTTCCCGTAAAATGAAAACAAGCTTTTCTATACTTGCCCGTAAGCAATCCATTAGGCCAGCCATCTGCACAAGCAAGATTCAGCTGTTCCGTTTTGAGGCAAGTGGGTTTTACCATCCAACAATAATGTGAGAAATAAATATTATTTAACAGCTCAGACTGTAATGCTTTAAAATTGCAACGGGGCCACGAGTTGCAAATGTAAAGGTCTAATCCAGCTCCGTTGACGTCAATGGGAAGCCTTTCCATTAGATTCCACAGAGGGTTGGATATGGCCCAAAAAAAGTATTAGGAAGGGAAAGGGTAGTCAACTACTGTGCTTAGAAAGTATATTATTTAAAATATAAAATAAAAAACACTTGGGAAGCCTAGCTTGATTCTCATCCCCAATCTATGAAATTTCTATATCTGAAGCTCCCAAAATGTTTCCCATGGGTGTGGGTGTGTGCAAAATTGATACGTTGAATTCATGGATGAGACTCCGATGGGAATTTAAATACTTTGCTCCCTAAAAGTCCAACCCAAGTCAAAAACAATTTCTTGGGAAGCAACTGAAATGTTACAGTCACAGTTCCAGGTATTAGACATGCAAAATCTTCCATTCTAACCTATTTCCACTTTGTCCTGGACGGAACCGATTCTTGCTGTGTGTACAAAATGGCCCAAATAGAAGGGTGGTTTAGGCATAATACAGTTGGATTCACACATGAATCAACTTTTGATCCGGGAGACCCAACCCCTTTTCCCCTGACTCTAAAGTTTCTATGGGTCAACATCAATGCATCGCCTAAGATGCTTGCAAGCACCACACAGGTACCATTTGCATTACTCACCAATAGTTTAAGGCTACTTATGGACAGTGACCCTTCCATGAAAATGAGGGCTGGGGCAAGGGAGAGGGAGTTGCAGGCCAGAGCACAGGACAGCATGACAGCTGTGCTTTTATCACTGAGCTGCATTTCTAGAAGGCAGGACAAAATGGCGAGCAGCTGAAGTCTTCAAACCAAAAGCAGCCCAATATGAGATTCATGCCTACACACAAAGGGGTTCTCTCTGTGCCAACGTTTCAAAGTCCGAGGTAGGTTCAGAGTATGGAAATTCTGGCACAAGCACCTTCCCAAACGAGTCATGAGAGAAGCAACGGCAGTGAACTCTACCAGAATCTCACTCAAAACAACAAAACAATGCTACGTTCAGGCAGAGGAATCCAACTGTATTAAGAATCCAAAAAGTCACTATAGCCAATGAAATCAACACTTCAAAAAATTTCCCCAAAATCCTGATGTTCAGAGTCAGTCTAACGAAAGATGCATCATCATCAGGACTGAACAAACTGACAATTTACCCCAATAAAACTGATGTGGGTTTTTTAAAATGTGGTTTTTCTACACCCGATTGACAAGCTCAGCAGGTAGGCTGCAAACCTGATGGTCTATACCTGTCCAAAGCAGGGTGGGCCTTGAACCAGCTACCCTTAGATTGAAGCCTTCCTTTGGACCCCTGGCCTGCACCAATTCACACCCAAGCAAATTGCAGGAGATGTGCTCAAGAGTTCATGCAATCCACACACACCCAACCAACCTAAAATAAAACTCAGGCTAAAAAATACTGGTTGCAAGCCTCCCCCTTCTTTTTGAAAACCTGGGATCTTTCCCCTCCAACTCACCTACAAGAGTTTTGCAAAACCCTACCAGCCTTTGGCGAGGACGGTCTTTGCATGTTAGCCCTTTACCTCATGTCTCCGTAGGCCCCTGTGTAGCTCTCCATCCACGGAGGGAGCTCCGTCTTGATGCAGTCAGCGGCAGGGGCAAAGGGCATCCTGCCCACCATGCCCCCGGGGTACAACACATTGGATGGTTGGAGCGTGGCACCCTCTTGTTCCAATGGGCCCTGGCTCCTGGCATAGCCAAAATAGGTGGGGGGGCCACCTTCATAGAGTTGCTCTTCCTCGGTGAAGAAGTGGTGCCGTCTCTGGCCGGGAGGGCCAGCATAGTGGGGCGCCAAGGCAGCAGGCACGTCTCCAGCACGCCGGCACTGCAGCTCCCAAGCAGCACTGCCGGGTGCGTATTCCAAGGGGCTCTCTAGCTTGATGCACCCCCCATGGGAGGCTAGGGCCAGCTGAAAGTTGTAGTAGTCGCGGTTCGGGAAGGTCCCCAACGGCTCCTCCAGCTCCAGAGAGCACTTGTAGAGGCTTGGGTGGCCCGGCATGTCCATGGCCAGCACGCCCTCGCCACCTCCAGCGCCTCCCTTCTTGGCTTCCACGATCTTGCAGCCGTCCAGAGTCAGGGGTCGAGGGTGCGCGCCAGCGAACATGCTGTCGCCGTGGGTCGCCGCCATTTCGCCGACGCCGGGCGCATCGAGCGCTTCCACCGCCAAGCCCATAGAGGTGGAGATGGCTTTGCGCAGCTCCTTGGCACTCACGCCCAGGTAGTCAGTTTTGTCGGAAGGGGCTTCCTCACCTCCTCCGCGAGGCTCGCCTCCTTCTGCTTTTTGCTGAAGACTGCTGTTGCCCAGAATGTCTTTGAAGTCCCCGGGACGACTCTGGAAAGAGAAGCCTCCCAGAAGGGCCAGAGAATACGGAGCGGACGACGAGGGCGAGGACAAGGACGCCTCCCCCCCATCGGGGGACTGCAGCGTTTTGCTCACCTGGGACTGCTCTTCCAGCAGCAGGTAAGAGGGCGAACCCGAGTCTTGCTGGTAGGCGCTGGGCTCTTGCAAGCGGGACCCCGAGGAAGACGACCCTTCCATCGCGGACGCCGACGCCTGGTGGCTGGGGCCAGCCTCCTCTCGCAAGGATCCGGGGCTCTGAAACACTTCGCGGACATTCTTAAACAGGTTCTGGAAGGCGCTCCGAAAAGCCTTCGCTGGCGGCCGAGGATTGACCCTGCCCAGACTGACGGGCACGTCCATGATCTCTCCTGGATGCTGATGTCGCTGGAGGGCAGGGCGGTGGGGGTCAGCCTGCTGTGCTACTTCTCTTTGGCCCGGGGCAGGTCCTGGAGACTCCTCGACTGGGCGGGGTGTCAGCTGAGAGAACCAGGCTCTTCTACTAGCTTCCGACGGAGACCAGTAGCCGCAGGGCCACCCTTGGGCCGTGGGGCGCACGCGAGGCGCTCCTAAGTTGGAGCAGGTGCAGTGTCAATGGTGTGCGAGAGAAGAGCCGGTCGACCCTGGCCTATCGGATCCGACGTCCCCTGCCTCTGGAAAAGTAGAAGTCAAGGCTCTACTCCGCTGGGGGTGGGGGGTTCTTTTTTGTTTTTTCAGCCTTCCCAGCCGGAGCAAAGACGCAGTCGTTGGCAGTTGCTGCTGCTGCTGCTGTTGCAAACTGACGCCTCTTGCAGGGGTGAGCTGAAGTTACAATCGGGAGAGAGAGAACGGACGGACTGACGCTTTGGAGGCAAGGCAGACGAACCACCCGAAGAAAATGAACTCGAGCGCGCAGGGAGGGCGGAGACAGAGGCGGACGTTGGCGAACCGGAGGGAGGCTTGTGAGTCAGAAGGCCGGGGAGGAGAGGCTAGACTGGCCGCCCAATCGGCTCAGCGGCCGAGGAGATCCCCTGGAACCGGGGCGGAGAGATCGGCAACAAGTCGCGGTTGGTGGGATATGAACAGGAGAAGTGGCTTCCTTGGGTTGTTGCAAAAATGTGTCCTTTGTTCGTTCCCTGGATAGGCAGAGCCCAATTTCCTATCAAGGAATAGAGTCAGGAGCAACGAGAGTAGGTAAAACCAGGCTTTCTTTCTAAAACATTATCTCAAAAGAATTAAATCTATCTTTTCCCCTTTGTCCATGTCAAGTGGACACAACTTTTGTGTCAGAGTCCAGTTCATTAAATTTGCGCTTGCTGTTCCAAAAACAAAACAAAAACTTTCATTAGTGAAGTCAATATTCTGAAGATGTGGCTTCTATTTTCACCTTGCACCTGTGATTTTCCACTTAACAAAATCTTCTGAGTTGCCACTTAACAAATATCAGGCTTTTACTGGTAAACCCCCAAAATTACTTGCTCTTGGAATACAAGGGAGTCAAAAACTGCATGAAAACGCAAACCATTTCTTTTTGTCCTGGCATAAACTTTGCAGTGTCTTTAACAAGGAGAGCATTAACTGTTGCTCTCAAGCCTTGTGGCCAATCCTTTCAGCTACTCCAATCTTTTCAGTTTCTGGGTCAGAACTCCAGTTGTCTGCCCTTTTCCCTTTTCATGCACACACACACACACACACACACTCTTACAGTTCAAACATCTTCAGGGGATGCCTTCAGTGGGAGTACACCTCATGAGCCTTCTAAACACAATCCGTGGCTCCAGAGCCCTACACAAAATGACCCCCCCCCTTGATGCTTCTCATGAAGAGAAACCTAAGGGTACCATAATCAAAATCCAGATGTGGCAACAAAAAGAGCTAACCATTTCCAAAATCTCACACAGCTGTCTTCCACTGGCTCTTTAATCAAACAGATAGCTTGCTTTCTTCTGTCTGGCATCATAAACTCAGGACTGTAGAGCAGGAAAAGGGACTCCTGAGGGTCATCCAGTCCAAGCCTCTGCAATGCAGAGGATGTCAACCAAAGCATACATAACAAATGTCCATTTCTTGCTCAAAAGCCTTTGCTGAGAGCCTCTTATGAAAAAACCCTCCAATGAAGGAGAGTCCACACTCTTGCTAGGTGTTTCAAGCAAAAGTGGCGAATCCCTTGCTCAGCCTGGTGGTTTCGGCCCATACCATTGATGTTCACTGCCTTTTCAAACTGTAGGATAGAGACTTCAGAGTAACATAAGAGTAACATAAGGAATATAATAGACATAATAGAATATATGGAGGCCAGGAATGACAAGCAAACAGCTCTGATGTTTATTGAGGCGGAGAAGGCCTTTGATAACAACTCATGGATTTAACTCATGTTTAAATTGAAGAATGACAATGGGAGAGTGTGGTAGATCACTGCCAGTTTTTTATATTGAATGGTAGATCTCAGGCTACTTTTGGTTGAACATGCCTTCTCTACATCACAAAAATCTGCTGAGGAACCTGAATCAATGAGGGCTCACAACTGCATCTTGCGCCCATCTGGGAACTGTAGCACCCCAAGCACTGTGAATCCAGGAATAGCCAGTGGCAACTTGCCCCTTTCCCAGTCCTAGGGCCCTCACAGGAACTGGGGGTGGGCGTTTCCCACCTGCTGCTTCGCTGGGCGTGCCCTTCTCTCAGCACTGGCTCCAGAAAGAGTTCACGGGTGTCTTGGCTGGACAATGTCTGGCAAACTGATTCGGCTTCCCACAGTACAAGCAAAGTCTCTCTCTCCTCTTTTTGTCTTTTTCTCCTCTTGAGACACACGATGGCGCCGATCTGCATAGCCTCACAGGTTCATTCCTCATTTTGCTCCCAGGCCTTCTCCCTGGAATGCATGGAATTCCAAACAGCTTCACCTGCGGCCTGATAACAGCTCCTCTGCTCCTTTCTCTCTTGCAAGCACTGGTCAATTCTCTCTCTTTTTGTAAAAAAAAAAAAATCTTTATTGCTTTTAAAACTTACAAGAAAAGAAAAAAGAAGAAAATAGGCGAAAGAAAAAGACAAAATAGAGCAGAGAAGAAAAAAAGAGAAAGAAAAGAAAAAACAATACAATACAATACAATACAATACAATAAACAATACAAAACACAACCTTAACACACTAAACTAAACAAAGCAAAAGAACAACAATTTAAAAACATATATCATACCATTTCATTACTCTGTCTTTCATTCCCTTATTTCATCGACCTCCTCTCACCTCCCTTTTTGTATTCCACTTCTATTACTTGTTTCAGCAATTCCTTTCCATCTTTTTCTATTTTTATCATTATGAATATCTTAACATATTTTGTACCTTATTTTCCATTAATACTGAAATACTTATTTATACCTAACTCCTTATAACATTTCTGCTAAAGCCATAAAATTTCATTCCAACAATTTTCTAACACTCATTAAATTTACAATGTTTCTATATATAAACTTTAAACTTTCCCAATCTTCTACCACCATCTCGGTCTCGGATTCTGCCAGTCATTTCCGTCCATTCCATATAGTTCATCAACCTGGAGATCTTCTGTCCGAGGCTCTTAAATCTTTTCCAAGTCCCTTCTGCAGTTTTTCTTCATATTCTTTGATGCTGAGGGTGCTGAAGCGCAGGTCTTGGGGGGGCCCCAACCCAACCATGCCCCCATTCCCTCTCGACAGACCAACCAACTCTCCCCAGCTAAAACCAGTGTCCATACAATATCTCAAATCATGTTTCAAGGCTCCTCCAGATCCATAGGCCCCCACAACTCCAATCACCTCCTGACCCAGATTCAAAACCCAAAGGTCAGTAAATCTCTGCATGAAAGAGTCTATCCAGCCTTCCTTCTTCAATCCAAACAGGGCTCCAATCTTCAAATTCTGACTTTTTCTATATTCATTCATAGAAGGCCTCCACTTATAGTCCTCAGTTTGCCTCTGTAAAACTGGGGCTTCCACTTGTATTATTTTAGGTTTAACAACACCAACATTCTCCTTCGTCTTCTCCCCAGTTTGTCCTGTCAAGGTGGGTTCCTGTGTCAAATCCTCAACAATTTCTGTATTAATGGTCACTTTTTGTTCCAAATTAGTCACTTTTTGTCCCAAGTTCTCAAGTTTGGTATTCATAGCGTCTGTCTTCTTGTGGAGCTGTTCCAACGAATAGCTTATCTTACATAATACAGTCACTAAGGCTCCTTCTGTCAACATTCTTAAAGTCCAAGGTCGATCTCTAGTTCACACAGTTCTTATCTTGCAACTGGAAAAACCCCAGCTCCACTCTTGTAACAGTTTCAAAAGCTCCCTCTAGAGGGAAACAGTCTCCACTTGTATCAATCCTTTCAAACACAGTTTAAACTATAAAGATAGTTTCTTTTCCTACTTTTTAAACGCAGATGAGTACAATGGAAACAATATATTTCTCTTATTGCTAGCTGTCAAAAAACGCCACTCTTTCTGGCAGCCCGTTTCCAGGTTCGGAGCAGTGGTAATTTGGTTTTTCACTCTCTCCTGCAGGCTCACTAGGTCCAAAATCCCCCCCCTTCTCCTGCTTCCAAGGGGGGGGGTAATAGTTTTAACCGATGGAGATTTAATCGTTTACAAAAATAAACTTTCCAAGGCTTTAACTTGCAACTTCTTTGCTTCAATCTGTTTACAAAAAAGGAAGGCGGACTTCCTGTTTAGAACCTTCCCGTTTCGATGCCAAATTAATGAATTTAAGGATCTAATTTTCCGTTCTACTCACGGGTAGTTGTTTAAAATCCAGTTGTCCACAGGAAAAAGTCAGCGCTCTCCGGCAACAGCGATGCGACTTCACTCCGTGAAAAAAGCAGTCAATTCGAAGCACCGCGCCACTCACCCCACTTCGCTCCGGATCCCCAAATCAGGGTTTCCCCACGAGTAGGGGAGGCGCAAAGGGTGCCAGCCGAATCCCAAGTTCACAGGCTTCTCCCGCCTGTGATTTCAGTGGGTCTCCGCCTTCGCCATGGCGGTCAGACCCTAATTTCCTCGGAGCAAATTCCTCCCGATCGGAGGAACTCCGCCATTGCCTGGAGGCGCCAACCCGGAAGTCTAGCACTGGTCAATTCTCAAGGCTGCTGGCATCAACGCCTCCAGGGAACTGGGGGGGGGGGGGAGAATCCATTCTTACCAACTCATTCAGCAGGGTTTCACTCAGCCCTGCATGGTAAATAGCCATCAAGGCTTCCTGATACCATGCTAGCTCTTGCGACAGCAAACTGAACTGTGTAATGTACTCCATTACTGAGTTAGACCCCTGCTTCAGCTTCATTAGCTTTTGTGTATTTGCAGGTTTCCACTGTGGGTCCTGGAACATGGACTCGAGATGAGTCATAAAACTGTCTGATCTCAATAAACAAGGGTGTTGATTAATTAGTAAAGGAGTCACTCAGCGTCTGGCGGCTCCTTCCAGAAGATTAATTACAATAAACGCACATTCTTTGTCTGACATCTTGCCTCCCCTTCAAAAACATTTCTACTTTCACTTTAAACCCAAGCAACTCAGAGGTCTGTCCACTGAACTTTGATGGGGGAATTGGGGGTGGGGGTGGGTCTTACTGACTGTCTCTGCGTTTCTGCCATCATTCTGACCATTTCCGCATTTTGAGATTGAACGGCACTCATCAAATGTTCTACATGTCCTCTCAGCATTAAATTCTGTTGTAAAAGCCATTGAAATGGCTCCTTTCAGTTATCAGTGTTGGCAGGCTTCCCGCCGGCAGCTCCTGCACCGTCTGTCATGATTTATGACTTAACCAGCAATTTAAGAGGACTTGGGACAATCTGTCAGGATGTTGTCAGCGGCTACTGGTTGGTTGCCCAGGAAAT